TGCTGTCGAAGCTGTGACGGTAGGCGAGGGGAAAGGATCAATGTTGGTCGGAGTTTGCAATGATTTCGGGGGGTGTGTCAAGGTTTGAGGGAGAGGGATGAAATCGAAAACATGAGCCGAACAGGATCTCAGGTCCCAGTTGGGGGGCAGCGCAGGCGCAACGCTACGCTACGCTACGGCCGGACCACCCAGGCTTTCCTACTAGGTAGGCCCCCCATACAGAGAGAGAGGCGCGCAGACACACAACAGACGCACAGAGTTGGCACACTCACACCTACAGAAACTGGAGCATGCCAAGGCCAGTCAATCACTTTTCTCCCTCTCATTCTCTCTTGCCCCACCCTTGCAACCAAGAGGAAAGAAAAAGAAGAGAGAAAAAAAAAAAAAAGAGTTGGAGGGAGGTAGCATGGCGCTAGACCTGTTTCGGAAACGGCAGTATAGAAAAAAAGAAAAAAAAAAAGCCCCGTCAGGTTCAACTTTCGAGGTGCAAGTTTGTGTGTGTATGTATGTGTGTGTGTGTGTCCCACAGGCCATTATCGAGTGTCCACTGACCGCCCGCGTGTTGTATCCCCCCCAGAACCTAATAATTTAACTGCTATCCATGGACGCTATCCATCGGCCACGGACCACGATATCCACGCTTGGTCTGTGAGTAATACTCGTGCATATATATGCTTGTGTGAATACCACGACGCGATGATGCTTTTACTTGTACAGGGTATCGACATCTCTCCGTACTCGTACTAGTAATGATAGTAGCAGCCGCATCGCAGAGTACGGGAAAGGTAAGCATTAACTCGCAGCTGTACGGAATGCAGATAGCACATATAGTACCCGTAATAAATTTGGAAATCCTCGTAAACCCCAAACCCCACCGCACCGGCGGTAAGGCGCAGGGCAGTTCTACGAGTATTACCATTTGCCAATCTAGCAAGTATTGATAGGTAATCGCTAGTAGAGTGCATCTGTCACTGTACGTTACTCCTACAGTCCGGCCACTCACCAGGGTCGTCACTCTCTAGCAGCATCTCAGCAAAACACGTGATCACTCCAGGTAGAAATCCGCGTCTATCCATCTACTGTACGTATCATGCTGTTGCCGTCGGCACTGCGAACTCGAGTAGAGCACACGCTCGCATGATCCATCCTCTCTCTACGGGTACGAGTAGTTTGCAAGCCCTCTCTCTCAGCCACCGTGCGCTCAGCAGATGTCACGCATACATACAGATGTACATATACATAATACAGCATACGGAACAGTGAATTAACCGGCCAGAACATGAGACTCGACACAGCCGTCTTTGTCGCAGGCTCGACGGGGGCCCTGCGACGCGGATTGGCTGACGCTAGCGCACGCATGGCGGGAATCAAGTCCCCTGTGGGTTCCACGGGGCAACCCGGTTGGAGGCTTGGAGCGAGAGGGAAACTACGGTATTACTGAGTGATACCATGTGTTATTACCTACGGCTACCGCTACTACGTGATTCCTTGCCCGGGACGAGGCAAATGTAACAGGCGGACATGTAGGAGGACATGTAGGGAGGGGAGGGCAGCAGTTGTCGTCACAATGTAATCTGTACAGATTACGACTAAGACTCACCACCACCACCACCACTACCACATATAATGCTACGAGGTAATGATAATAGGTACCAAGTGTAATCTGTAATCTGTATCTGTACCCCGTAGCTAAGCACCTTGGCCATCACACCTCGGCTATCATCTCGACAACATTCCAGTCTCAAAACGCCCGTCTAGCATGCCGACCGACCAAGCGTCATCTCCCCTGTTGACTTGCGCATGTACTCCGTAGTTACCACGTAATACCGGGCACAGGTAGATGATATCGATACGTTATACAGGTGAACTCCCTTTCTCTCTCCCCTCCTGACCCGTGGGACCCTCGGGTTTGAAACACGTCCATCTGTTGTAGATCCCCTGTGCACGGATACTACGGAGAGATATTATCGCCTGTCAAGTAATCAATAACACCGATAGTACCGACATCGTAAGTAGAATGAATATTACTCACGAGTTGTGTTGATAACATCTCGTGTCTCGTAGCTCAGCTTTCACATTTATATGTGCGACAAGTGACCCGGGGCCATTCGCCTACCCTGCGAGTCTCCATGGGAGGGGAGAAAGCTTGTACGTTGTATCTAGGAGGCTCTCTCTTGAGAACTATCAATTTGCATCGGTACCCCGTTGCTTCTGTACCCCGTCTCTCTTAAATACATGTACTTGTTTTTTCTTTTCTTTTCTTCCCCTTCTTTCTCCTCTCTTTCTCCCTAGCACAGATTGCTTTTAATGGTGTTTTTCTTTTGTGGGTAATGCTCTTTCATCGTAATTATATGTTGACGTTATTGTCGCCAAAGTTACATAAGTGTCTCGAGTAGGTTCTTGCGTGATTCCAACGGCTAGTAGATGAGACGCGTGCAAAATGACGTGCAGCAAGTATATTTTACATCTATAGATAGCAAACGTCTCGGCTGATAAAATACCGTCCAACTATAAAGCGACAAAGGAGAGCGGTAACATGAGTCGAAATGAAGAAGTGCAATGTTAATGGCACACCGGACAGCAAAGGAAAAAAAAAAAAACATGCCTGAGGCATGAAACGGGGGACACAAACCCACGTTTATGTGGGTCTCGTGGAGTTCGGGATCATCAAGCTCCTAACTACCTATACGTACTAGGATACACAAGAAGAGCTCCTTCAGCCGTCAGTCAGCCCAAGGTAAATAGAGAAGAAAAGAGAAGAGAGAAGGGAATGAAGGGGTATTGATACGACAGCGCAAGAAGAAAGACAAAAAAAGAGCCCTTTCTGTCTCTTCCTGCATCCGGCCCCATCATCGTCATCGGCCTCTCTTCACGCGACGACAGCAGCAACTCCCATCGCGCTCGCCGCATCATGGCGCCTCGAATAAATTTACCACCGGTTACGAGGGCCCTCCTCATCGTCCTCATATTCCAGTCCGTCCTGAGCGCTGCCATCAGATACCGGCACTGGGTCAGCCGCATCCCCTCCGCCGCGGATACCACCACAGGCGGCAGCGCCGCAAGCGCCGCCAACGACGTCGTCTTCATCCCCTATCTCACGCTGGTGCCCCAGCTGTCGATAGTGTATCCCTGGACGTTCCTCACGACGACACTGGTGGAGAGCAACATATTCACCCTGGGCATCGCGGGAGCCACACTTTTCTACGGGGGCAGGTACCTTGAGCGAGCTTGGTCGTCGCGCGAGCTGGCCAAGTTCATGGGCATCGTGGCGCTGATTCCCAATGTGTTGACGTTTTTCGTGCTCTTCATTCTCTTTGCACTGTCGCGGAATGAGACCTGGACGTGAGTCTTCTTTCTCCCCCTCTCCCTCCCTCCTCTCGGCGCGAAATAGAACGGGACAGGCAAACAAAAAAGAAAAAAAAAAGAAAAAAGCTGACAGAAATGCTCCTCCCTCCCAGACTCACCGTCATATCCGGCACCGTCCCTGTCCAAATCTCCTTCCTCGTCGCTTTCGGCCAACTCATCCCCGCCCACACAGTCACCCTCTTCCGGGGCCTCATCTCGCTGCGCGTGGTGCGCTTTCCGCTCGTCTACGTCGGCATCGTGGCCGTCCTGTCGCTCACGCCCCTCCTGTCGAGCGCGGCCACACTGCTCGCCTTCACGGGCTTCCTGACCAGCTGGACATACCTGCGCTTCTACAAGACTGTCTTCCCGGACCTGGACGCTTCGCAGGCCCCACCCCTGCGGGGCGATGCGAGCGAGACCTTCGCCATGGCCGAGTTCTTCCCCGCGTCCGCGCGACCTTTTGTCGCCGCGGTGTCCGACCAGGTCTTTGACGTGCTCGTCTCGGCGCGCCTCTGCACGCCCTTCTCCCCCGCCGACGTCTCGGCCGCGAGGGGCGACGCCGCCTCCAGCTTCCTCCAGCGGGGCACCCCGGGAACGGCGCGTGCAGAGGCCGAGAGGCGGAGGGCGATTGCTCTGCGCGCGCTCGACCAGCGCCTAAACTCTGCTTCCTCGACGACGACGGCGGCGGCGGCGGCGGCGGCGGCGGCGGCGGGTACTGGCCCCTCGGCACCTGCGCGGACCTCTGCCAGCACCGCATCCGAGACAAAGACCCAGACGGCGACCACGTCTAAGCCTGGCGAGATGCTCGGCGAGACTAAATTTGAACCCGATGACCATGACGACCACGTCGCCGGAAGGAGCTGAGGCTGCTCTCTTAGTGGGCAGACCGAACTCTTCTTTTGCTCTATCCCGTCTTGATAGCGGGTAGATTCCTTGACATGACTGTCGACGCATCTACTTTGAACCACACTCTCCTCTGTTACTATGTGATGTTTCCTTCCTCTGCCCCTTCTTTTCTTTTCTTTTCTTCTCTTCTCTTTTTTTCCGCCTTTTCTCTCTCTTTCTGTTGGATTGGGGTAGCGTGAATAAGGGAGAGGATCAGGGCAGCTGTATAAATGTAATCTTAGCACATGATTTTTTACTTCTTTTCTTCTTCTTTTTTCCTTTCCTTTCTGTCTTGTTTGACTGAGTAAGATTTGGTAGGGCATTCAAAGCGAGTTTTTTTTTTTTTTTTTAGTTGAAGAACAACGACACATGATCTCTCTCTCTCTCCTTTTTTTCAATATCTAAATTTTCATAATTATAATATATATATATAAACATCTCATATTTTCCCCTCCGCGTGATCGCTCTACAGAGTGGGGAGAGATGGATGGAATAGGTTGCACCTCTTGTCATGATGGCAGCCACCGCATCTGCCTGTCCCCTTGTGCGATGTGGGTCCCTCGCGCATCGGGCATTAACCTGAACTTGACGTACCGCATTCTACGGGTGAGTATGAACAACTCTCGGTATTAGTACCCCATGCCCCATCCTAGGGAGAAGATGGAACACCCACTACGAGTACTGCTGGTGGTATTCATACTAGCAGGACCGCCCAGTAGTAAGGTAATAGTAGCAGCAATTATGGAACTGTGCATGGAACAAAAGACACGTACATGGGGCATGACATGTGAGTTCTCGTCTCCTCCGGTGTCTTTGTAACCATGGTTGCATACCATGGTTGCATGTTGTGGGCGCACGTTTGGGAAGGGGGGTTAAGAAAAGAGAGAAGAAAAAAACCCCCCCAAAAAACCGAAATAGCTTGGGAGTCGATAGGAGTCACGGGGAGATCATCCCAATCACTTATTCCCCCCCGTCGGGGTTTTTTTTGCTTTTTTTTTTTTTTGAGTGACGCCGCGGCGGTGAGCGAGATGACAGTACGTCGACGACACACGGGTATAGCGTGCAAGAAGTAATGATAATATTGGACCTCTGTGCGCTCGTCGTATTTTGACAAGGAAATGGACAAGTATTTTAAAGGGAGGAAAGAGGAAGAATAAAGGGTTGTTGCAAAAAAAGAGGCTTGGATCTACGTAGGTTCATGTGTTGCTACCAGTATCATGTCACTCGAAAATAGACAGACGTGTTATGGCGGCGGCGGCTGGGGGGGGGGGGGGGTTGGAGGTTTGTAGGCCAATGACGGCGTTTAAGTCATTGTTTGCCGGTGGCCTCCATTTTTGTGGTCCATATTTGTGGTGGGAGGGGCCTCCAAGGAATCTGTGAAAGAAAGAAAGGGGATTATCTAAGATTACTACCTGTACAATACGTACGAGTATTACATATAGACTAAAGAGCATCATGTGTATGTGACATGTGTGTGTGTGTGTGATCCGAGGTACCGCAATACCCCGGGCATAGCTGGGTGGGTGGTCAATAGGATCGGGCGGGAACGATTGGACAGGGGGTGGGACGACGCAGACAGGACATGCAACAATACAACACACATGCTAGGGAGGGGAGGGGAGGGGAGAGGAGGGTGGAGCATGGAGAGAGAGAGAGAAGGAAAGAGAGAGAGAAGGAAAGAGAGAGAGAGAGAGAGAAGGAGAGAGAGAAGGAGAGAGAGAAGGAGAGAGAGAAGGAGAGAGAAGGAGAGAGAGAGGGAGAAAGAAAAAGACAGAAAGAACAGAGAGAGAGAGAGAGAGAGAGAGAGAGAAGGCGTGTATTTATTCACAGTGGTGTATGTGTATGTGTATGTATGTACAGAGTATATGTGTACGAGTAATACATTGTCTGTAATACTCGCTATGGTGCGAATGTGGCGTGGATCTGCCAAGATGCATCAGCAAGTAGAATGCAGAGGTAGCAGACGTATGCAGTGACTTGAGTGGCGTGCAGGGTTGATACCGGGCGCTGGGAGGTGAGGTGAGGGAGAAAGAGAGAGAGAGAGAGAGAAGGAGAGGAGAGGAGAGGAGGGGGGGGGGGGCTTTAAAGGTACGAGCACATGTAGGATTGTTACTTGTTATTTTCCTAGTAAAATAGCATGATGAGTATGACGGTAACAGTATTCTATTTGTACTACGAGAAAGAAGGAAAGTAGGAAAAAAGGGGAGTTTTCCAAGAGCACGAGTTACGGTAACGGTGTTAATATACCCTGTGGTCATGATACAAGTACAATCTGTAGGCAGGGAACGGTAATAGAGTACCCAGAGATGGGCGGCACTCGTGACGCAAACTAGGGGTTCAGCAAGGGGACAGAATAGAAACTTGAATGTTACTATCACGTACGGCATGCATGCTCCGTAATAACGAGATTAGAAGCTAAGCCTAAGGGAAGCACGAGCAGTAACGACGAGTGTTAGGTACTCGAAGAGAACTCGAAGAGGAGTGAATTAAAAAAACAAGGTCGAAAAAAAAAACGAACTCGAATCAGAGGCCTGGGATAGGGCTACCGTCTCCCTCTTCTGATCCCCGCCTTTTTTTTTCTTCTTTTCCTTTCCTCCCTTAGATATACGCCCCCCCGCCTCCTCCCTCCTGCCTGAGCCTGTATGCATTGCCTATCCGTGTACCGGAATACTTTGCACTTTCGTGCAGTCACGGCTACTACTACTATAGGTACAAGCTTTATGTATTACGACCAATGGCCTTGGGGGGAGGGGGAAAGGGTGGGGGTAAAATCCTCCGGGGGCTCGTCGGAGACGGAGGGGTATTACGGAGTATTGTGGCGGGCTCGCGGGCGCTGTTACGAGTATTTTCCCTTTCCTTTCCTTTCCTCTTCTAAAACTCTACAGGACATATTTTATATATATATTATATATATATTCTTCCTTTTTTTTTATTAGTACACGCGCATATACTCGTAAGTACTCTCTTCGTAGCTCGCGTTGCCCTCCCTCCCCACCACTACGAAAGTACGGAGCAGTAGTAACGTCTCCCTTTCTGTCACACAAAAAGAGGTCGTGTTCTCTTTTGTATGTCTTGTGGTCTGCCGGCGCGTGTGTATTCTTGGTTGGATGTCTATGCTAGGAGGGACAGATCCGACGTTATTATAGTCGAATCCTGCTTACTTAAGCGATGGACGAAATACACGGTAGAAGCATGACGCTTTCCGCTGCTGCTTTATTTCCATCTCTCGTGTTACTCTTATAGATCCCCTTACTTGAGAGTATAATGTGCGTGATATGTAGCCGGCATGCATCCGACAACGCTACCGAATCGCCTAGAGTATTACCTAGCGACTAGTACGGAGCATGTACGGAGTAGATGGGACTAGTAGGAGCGTTACGGTTAACCAGAATATGACCGCCAGCACCTCTCTGTCCGCTGTACTCGTGGAGACGGGTGGCTTACGTATGGTATGCATTCTAACACTTACATACATGTACTCCGCTTCTCCGTCACTCTATGCGTACGGCGTACAAGCAGTATTGTGTATGGTATTATTACAAGACGTATATACCTTTTTTTAATCTTTTTTTAATCTTCTTCTTCCTCATGCTCAGGACACCCCTCTTCTTTCTTTTCTTTCCCTCCCCCTCCTCCCCCCCCAAAAAAAAAAAAGCACATCATTTCCTGTTAACACTAGTAGCATCCCAAGATGCTGAAAGATTATCACCGATAACCATTCCCGCCAACTGTTACGCCGCACATGTACGGAGCACACCCAGCAGAACGCCACAGTGACGCCACAGACAAACTGCGACAACATAAGTGGCGCGCGCGGTTGTCGCCTCAGGAGGCTCGGGAGGCATGCTTGCTGTCTGACATGAATCTTGCTGATGGGAAAATGTTTCGCTCTCGAAGCCCTCAGAGTCTTCTTTCTCCAAGAGTCTCTCGTCTACGCGTAGCTGTCAGCTGTCTCTACGGGGCATTATATCTTAGACACTGACATTTTTCAAACATTGACTCTGAGAAGAAAAGAGAGCACAGAAAGACAAGAAACAATACTTATCTTACTCCGTATCAATACCACGTACTATCATCTACCATTACCACTCACCTGTACACGTAGTCGTTGTCAATAACTGTCGCGTGGTCATGTGAGACTTATCCATTTAATCCAGACTTGGTCTTTGGGGAAGGGGGGGGGGGGCTGCTGCTATCATCATCACAATCGTTCAGTTTCCTGAAATTGAATCATGATACTTCCAGTAATAATGCGGCTACACATGCGATCTACGTTACGTAGGAGCCGTACCTCTGCTTTCTCTCTTTTCCTCATCCCGACAATAACATTTTGTCAACTGAGCTCATCCCACGATGATGGCTGACTCGTCGCTGCCAGGTTCCAGCCCACCAAGCCACACTTGCATGTACGAGTATTTCTTTCCTTCGCCAGTTGGCCCCCGGGGTTCAGTACTGGTACGGGACCAACTCTGCTCATACTAGGTCATTACTAATCTCCAGGTGGCCTCAGGTTCAACAGCGCAGTTCATCAGCCACAGCCTACCTTACCTGTTGTGCTAGCTCCCCCGGGTCCGTACGGATAGGTTTCTGCCACCTGCAAGCTGCAGCCGGGAGGGCGGTAATAATATGAGTACGTCGTATGAGCTCATGCCGCTGTGCCCCACTTGAAATACATTTCCTGGCCCCAGTTGCCCCATGAGACGGCCCCACTATTACAGGCTGGAGGACCCATAGCAAGACTAACCCCTGTTATTAACCCTCAACCCTCTCTCCAGGCCTCTGCTCCCCCGGGGCCCGCCCCCCCCCCCCCCCTCCCCTCCCCCCCTCCCCTCCCTTCTGCGTAGGCCAGGCCAGGTCAGGCTAGGAAGAAGATCTCCACTATTGAACCCACCCTCTCCTTCTGCGTCAAAAAAAGGAAAAGAATAAACACCCCTTACTCCACTTGTCGTTGTTGGCTGTAGGTACCTTAGCAGCTTAGTCTGTACGTGTACTAGCGTCTACATCATTACGACGTTAGTAGTCTAGGGGCAAGCCCAGTTTACTCGTCTACTCGTACTCTCTCCATAACCACACCCCCCCCCCCTTCATGGCAATGAGTACTTCTGATCACACGACTACTCAGTAGGTAACAGTCGTACTCGGCGATAATGATCACTGTAACTCTTCATAGGCTCACTCTGGCCGTGTCTATATATACTGACTGGTACGCACATAGTAGCAGCAGGGTAGTACTCGTACAGAGGCGCCGCAAGGTTTATTTACCCACACGCACACACCCACCCACCCTGGGCAGCGCTGGACCACCCGTGAGACAGCCTGTTCTGTTCCCACCCGCCCAAATCTGTAGGCCCCGTAGATATACGTACCGCGTTTCGTGGGTTAGGGGAGTTTGTTTTTTTTGCTTGCGGCGGCACAAGAGCCCAAGCCCCCAGCCAGTAGAGCGCCGCTTGCCTTCATCTCATGCGGTCTCCGTTCGCCCCAAACTCCTCCCCATCGTCTTTCTTTCCCTCACCCTCTCACTCTCTTACCCTCACTCTTGACCTTCCTCGTGGTGACAGTTCTCCCCTCTAGCCGTGACGGGCATCCAACAAGCAAACCACCAGCCTTGGGATCCTCGCGCCGTTCACGCCGAGAGCCGCCATCTATCAATACCCGACAAGCCCTGCTCAAGGGAAGCAGCTTGCGAACATACGCGCGCGCGCACCTATCACGACGAGCAGACTACAGAAAGGAAAAATAAACATGGCTGCCAACCATCACCATTCGCCGACACTGCTTCAACTGCAGCAGCAGCAGCAGCAGCAGCAGCAGCATCAGGCGCATGCCGCTGCCCACCAGCAGCCCCCGCCTCCCCACCCGGCTGCCCTCCAGCAAGGAGCCCACTATGGCGCGTCGCATCCCGTAGCTCAGGTCAATGAGGCAGTGTGGCTTCAGATAGGTATGTCGCATCCATCCATGCTTCCCCTCCGCAGGCCCTTCGTAGTCGGTTCAAGGCCGACGACGGAAGAAGACGACGAGAGACATGCTGACCTTGGGGCCTCCCCATATCGCAGGAAGCTTCTCGGAGCTCTTGCGTGTCCCTGACGAGGCCATGCACGCATACGAGCGTGCTCTCCAGGCCAACCCCAACTCGACCGCCGCCATGAACGCGATCGGCATGCTTCTCAAGGGCCGCGAGGCTTACGAAAAGGCCCTCGAATTCTTTCGCGCAATCGTTCAGCTCGAGCCTACCAACGGAGAGGCTTGGGGCAACCTTGGTAAGAATACAGATCCGCCGTCTCCCCCATCTATCATTATCCTCTCTTCTTGAGTAAAGAAGAAGGAGAAGAAGGAGAAGAAGAAAAAAAGGCTGACCAGACTTCCTCTCCAGGACAGTGCTACCTCATGTCGGAAAATCTCCAAAAGGCCTATGACGCGTACCAGCAGGCCCTCGTCAATCTTCGGGATGCCAAGGACCCCATGCTCTGGTACGGTATCGGTATCCTCTATGACCGCTATGGCAGCTACGACTACGCCGAGGAGGCCTTCTCCCAGGTTATGCAGATCCAGCCCGACTTTGAGAAGGCCAATGAGATTTACTTCCGTCTTGGCATAATATACAAGCAGCAATCCAAGTTTGCCAACAGTCTTGAGGTATTGTTGACACCCCGTCTATTTGGAGACACGTGCTCTCCCCTCTGCTTTCTCTCTCGCGCGCACCGACGAACACATTGCTGACGTCGTCTCCCCTCATCTCACAGTGCTTCAAGTACATTGTCAACTCGCCGCCTGCTCCCCTGTCTCAGGATGATATCTGGTTCCAAATCGGCCATGTTCACGAGCAGCAGAAGGAGGTAGGCCATTGCAATTAGACCCTCGCATTTGATTCATATTATGCAGGAAAGAAAAAAAAAACCACCAAAACAAAAACAATCAGCTGACCCGCCATCCTAGTTTGATGCTGCCAAGAACGCCTACAACCGCGTTCTCGAGAACACTCCTAACCACGCCAAGGTCCTCCAGCAGCTGGGCTGGCTTCATCATCAGCAGAGCAATGCCTACGATGTGCAGGAGCGCGCGATCCAGTACCTGGAGAAGTCGGTCGGCGCCGATAACCAGGACGCCCAGAGCTGGTACCTCCTGGGCCGTTGCTACATGTCGCAGCAGAAATACCCCAAGGCGTACGAGGCCTACCAGCAGGCCGTGTACCGCGACGGGAGGAACCCGACCTTTTGGTGCTCTATCGGTGTGCTGTACTACCAGATCAACCAGTACAGGGATGCCCTTGACGCCTACTCTCGCGCAATCCGCCTGAACCCCTACATCTCCGAGGTCTGGTACGACCTGGGCACTCTGGTGAGTTTTTTTTCCTCCTTGATCCGTCGCTTCCTGTCTTCTCGGATAAACGCTGGGGCCCTGGCTAACGATACCCCAGTATGAATCTTGTAACAACCAGATCACCGATGCCCTGGACGCCTATCAGCGCGCTGCCGAGCTCGACCCCACGAACCCCCACATCAAGGCCCGACTTCAGCTCCTGCGATCGGGCGCTAGCAACGGCGGTCCGCCGCCCACCGCCCCCCAGCCCGCCGACGTACACCCGCAAGCCTACCAGGCTGCCGGCCCCGTGGGCCCTAACTGGAACAATGCCGTCCAGCAGCCCGCCAGCAACGGCCCGCCTCACACACCTCAGGGTACGCCCGCCGGTGAGAACTGGGCCGGCAGGCTGTCCAACGTCAACCCTCCTCCCCAGCCCCCCAACCCTTTTGGCAATGAGCCCCCTGCGGCGGCGGCTCCTCCCGCCGACTCGTACCGCGGACAGCCTCCCCTGGGCCCCCAGCGTCAGCCTACCCCCCTGCAGGACGTCCGTCAGGGCTACCCGGAGCCTAGCCGCTCGGCCGCTGCCGCGCGCCGGGTCCAGTCTCCAGCCCCCGCAGCCCACTACGCGCAGCCTCCCCCTCCAGCTCAGGCCCCCCCTCCCCACGCCGTGGCCCCGGAGGGCCGCGTCGTCAACCCCAACTGGTCCGGAGCGACACCTTCGGCTGCCGCGCCGCCTAGCCACAGCGCTGGCGCCGGCATCGTCGACGGGGCGACCCCCTTCCGGGCTGCCAACAGCCCTCGCCTCGAGGGACGTATCATCATCCACGACACGCGCATGCCGTCCCCCAAGTCGGCTTACCCGCCTCAGTCGGCGTACGCCCCCCAGCCTGAAGCCCCCCCGCCTCAGGCGGTGGTCGAGGCTAGTCTGCCTCCCCCCCCGCCGCCGCCCCCGGCTGCTGTCGTGGCCCCGGAGGTGGCGGCCCCTCGTGTAGATGAGCGCCCCGGCTCGACCGGCCCCAAGCGTCTGCGCGAGTGGGAGGAGGAGTCGTCGGCCAAGAAGCAGGCCAACGAAGAGAACCGTGCTCGCCTGGAGGATATGCATCACCGCCGTCCGTCGACGCCGCCTCGTGACGGTGGCTTCCGCCGCAACTCCGGATCCGACCTCAGGCGCAGCGACGAGCGCCGCCGCTCCGACGAGGCCAAGAGGTCCGTCGTTGCCGCCGCCAATGAGGAGCCTCCCCGCCACCCCCGCGAGGGATACCACCCGTCCGAGGCTGCCCACCACCAGCACAACCACTCGTCTTCCAACTCGCAGCCTCCGCCCATCCCCGCCCCCACCGGCGTTACGTCGGCTCCCGGCTCGACGACGGGCAACTCCCTAGACAAGACGGTCTCGGCTGCCGCCACTCCCAAGGAGGAGCGTGCCAACCCGGCCGACCATGCTGCCGCTGCCGTTTCCGGCACCCCGGTCCCTGCCAGCGCCGCTCCGGCACCTCCCGGTGAGCCCGAGCGCGCTGCCAGGAAGATGGACGTCGACGACGACTATGACGACAGCGGTGAGGACGAGAAGAAGGCGTCCCTTGCGAAGGTGTCGGCCGGTGTCAAGATTGAGTCCGAGACGTCCCCCGCCGCTGCCGGTGCCGTGAATGGCAGTGCGACCGCTGTTCCCAAGGCGGAGTAGGTCTCCTATGGAAGGGTGAAACAACCTGCTGAACGGGTCACGATTACGAAAGAGGGACGGAGTAGAAAAAATTGCGCGTTTTCTCACCCTTGCTGCTTTTGCTGTATACCACGATGACACACCTAGATGTTTTCCTTTTTTTATAACCTTTTTCTTCTTCTGCTTTTACTCTTGACTCTTTTTTTCATTTTTTTTTTCACTAGAGTCTCTTTGGTCAACTGGTCCCCTCTTACTCCGTTTTGCGGTTTGTTATTTATTATTGAGTTAAACACAATTTTTTTCTTTTTTCTTGGTCAACCCAAATATCTTTTCCTCTATCAACTCTTTACTCTTTCCACAACATTTTGTCTTTGTGCACTATCGAATGGAGATGTGCCGGGGGGGGGGGGGGGTTGGCTGGTTGGTTGGCTGTTTGTTTGTTCTCTTTACCCCCCCCTGTTAAACGAAAATGGGAGGAGGAAATCTTAGGAATTAGGAATATAAGCAGGGTTTCTAAAGCGACCGCTGTTAAGAACACCTTGCAAAACAAAATGGGACGAGAGAGACGGGGACAGAAGGAGAGAAGGAGAGAGAGAGAGAGAGAGAGAGAGAGGAGAGTTGATTTGTTTTGCTTTGGATTGCGCTGCTGGGGGTGGTTTATTCTGATATTATTATCATCTTTGTTCTTTTATATCCTGGGGTTGCTGAAGCGTTGGTATGCCTTTACTGTTTTTTCTTATTTCTAGTTGCAGTTGCTCTGGTAGTTTTTCAGAATGGAGCAGATGCTCAGTCTGAATAGATAGATATGCGGAGCTGTCGCCTTATCTGATCAATTGCTCTGATATCTCCTGGGCGTCGTCCACATTCTCCCTTCCCTTGAACTACGTCATGACCCCCGTTCCTTTTTTCAGTTTCTATATCATCTTCATACGTACAGATTACCGAGTACGTAATACCCCCCCCCTTTTATCATGTCGCTGGTTGCTACTTATCATTACCTCGTTCGGATCGGGAGAAAGGGTTCCTCCGTCTGACAACCCTTTAGGCGCATAATACATCACCGACCTTTTCTTTTCCCTTTTCTTTTTTCCTTTTCAGCCTCTTTTTTTCTGCCCTTGGCTCAATAGTATATCCACTTCATCTTCCCTGTGAAGGAGCTATCTCTCCGACATGTTAATATATTGGATGGGGGATGAGATTGACGTGAGAAAGCGTGGATCAGGTTTGAAGAATCCCTCCGGTCTTTTATTTAATTTTATTCTATCTTACTCTATTCGATTCTATACATAATATTCTCTTTAGACGGACCTCACCCCATCCCCTCAGGCGCCTTTCTATCACGAGCATCTGCCGATGGGCTTCAGCAAAGATGTACTCGTCGGCAAGCCGAACTTTTGGAAGCGGAAACGATCTACGATGCATCCCAGGCCTGAAGAAAACGGGTTGATGGGATGATTCAGGGAGGAAAGCGAGCCATCTGAGGGCACGGGGCAAAGTCACTTTTTCACGTCTCATCACGTTCCACAATGATCTCATGTTTTTCTCACTATTGAATAGCCCAACCCCCGCCCCCGAAACGTTGGCAACCGTCGAGCGAGCCCTACTTCCGAAGATGACCTGCTGCACGCAGTCTAGGCATCCTGTTTCCCCTTGCGCAGCTTGATGTCGTTGTAGTACCGTCCCAGATCGACATCGTTACCCGACGCATCCTTGAATGTATAGGTTCCCTTGCCATGGCCGCTGAAGTGAACCTTGAAGTCTAGAGAAGCGAAAGAGGTGAGTGAGTAAACATGACAGGTTCAATATATTCGCAAGTCTTCTTCTCGGGTAACAGATGGATGTAGAGAAGGAAGAGAAAGAAGGAAGAGAAAGAAGAGAGAGAAAGAGAGAGGTTAAAAAAAAAAAAACAACACGTACTGTTTGCATAGGCAGCCAGATAGGACCAATTGTCATTCAGGAATATCTGGGCCTTGTCGACCTCGATGCACTTCACCCCACCAGTCTCACCATCTGCAGGGCGCAGCTCTTTAAGACCGGCGACCAGCTTAACAAGCCCGGAGATGAACGTCAGGGTGATCCCCTTGCCTATGCACGAGTGTTGACCGACGTTGAAGGTATCGACCTGCGGCGGCTTGCGCCAGGGGTCGAATTTGTCACCATCGGTTACGTCGGGAGACTTTCGTGCAGCCTCGCCCTGTATTGAGGTTAGCAAAAAGAAGAAGGAGAAAAAGAGAGAAAGCGGGAAAAAAAAGAAAAGAAGGGAAATAAGGACTGGATACCGTCCCAGCATCTACATAATCGGAAGGGGGGTGGGGGGGGGGGGCGTTTTCTTCCTATCCTTTTCTTCGACATACAAGCATGAGGAGGACAACGTCTCCAGCGTTGATAGACTCGCCCTCGAGCTCCGTCGCTTGAGCGGCAATGCGGACGGTGGCCAAGGGCGCGGTGAGACGCTGCGCCTCACAGACGTACTTCTGGAGCTCATCGTCCTTGTCCTTCTCAGCAAGGGACTGAACTTCGCTCCAGATGGAGGCATTCTCGGGTCTCAGGAAGAATTCCGTGACTTGGTAGAACTGCAGAGATTCAGTGTCAGTACGGCATACCGCAGATGCGAGGGGAGAGAGAGAGAGAGAGAGAGAGTACTCACAGTCGTGGTGAGGACTCCTGTGCCACCAAAGGCCGTCAGCCATAGCTGGTCAGTGACATACTCGGGAGAGTTGCCCTTGGCAAGGAGCTCTTCCACGAGCTTGTAACCGCATGACCTCAGCGAGCCCTCCTTGAGGTAGCGCTTTCTGGTCGTGATGCTGGACAGACGAGACTTGACGCCGAGCCCGAAACCCTGGGACGAGGAGACCTCATCTACCAGCTTCCGGGTGGTCTCGATGATCTTCGTGGCGCTCTCCTGAGCGCGGCGTCGGCGGTTCCATGCCTCGGCCGAGTTGTTGTTGTTGGATGCCCACATGCGGATGTTGACCAGGTGGCGGTACAGCTCGGCGTGGCTGAAGGTTCCGTTGGGGTTCTCGTCGGTGCGCAGGTCAAGATAGAACAGGTCGGCGAGGATCTGGGCGTTCAGAGGGATGGAGACATCGCGGACGACGTCCATCTGGATGAGCCCCTTCTTCAGCTGGAACGACTCCCGCTGTATCAGCTCGGAGCCGAGGCGGCTGACGAAGTCGGCCGTGGTCTTGCGTATGTTGGGAATCTTGCCCATGGCCTGCAACATCTTGTCGCGGTGGTCGAGATTCTTGGGTTCATCGCCGCACAGCATGAACCAGCTCAGGTCCTTCTTTCCAGGGTAGAGGAGGTTCAGCCCACGGTTCCAGATCAGGGGGAACGACTTGGGGTTGCCCATGACATGCTTGATCGAATCGGCCGAGAAGAGCGCGACCTTGCGGGCCGGAGGCTTCGGGTCGTCGAGGCTGTACTGGTCGATGGTGCCGAGCTTCTTGGCGATCTCGACGTTGGCCTTCTTGGTGTACATGGGCTGCATGGCAGACACCGAGTTGAAAGGGAACCAATCGGGGAGAGCCCTGTGGATGAGCTTGTACATCATCGAGCCCCCCAGGGTCTTGGGGTCTCTCTCGATCTCCTTGTAGCCCCAGGCTGTCAGGCTGGAGACGGTAAAGTCGACGGTAAAGAACCTGTCCGATCGGACGAGCGTGATGGCGTCGGAGAGGACGGCGCGGCCGACAGAGTACGTCGGGCAGATGCCCGAACCGGGCGCCTTGCTGGGCTTCATCTGCTCAATCATGATGCCGGGGTACATCTCCACCATGTCCGGATCAGCATACAGGTTCTCGAGGATCTTGGCAATCTCCGGGTCCGGGTTGATCTCCAGAAAGGAGTCGTAGCGCTTGAGATGGAAGAAGTCGCGGAACTCGTTGAGGGATGCGACCTGCCACTTGCGGGCCTGTTTGATCCCGAGAACCTCGACCACCTTGAGGGCCTTGGGGACCATGCGGGCGCCGAAGGTGCCTGCTGGGTCTTCCATGGACTCTTTGAGGATCCGCACAAGGTCTTCATCCTTGAACTTGCCGTCTTCGCGCACCAGGCCGCCAAACGTGCGCTTGCTGGGATCTACCTCCGTGCGTTTCTCGAACTCGACCAGAGCAGCGCCGAGATCCGGCACGCTGACATTCTCCAGGTCTTCGGCAGTGCGGCCGGGGAAGAGCTCGAGGAAGAAGTCGTTGATCCAGCGCTCGTCCTTGCGCGAGATGCACGAGTGGAAGCGGTAGAGCAGGTTGAACTCGGCGCTGACCTGGTTTCCAACACCGCGCTCGACGGGCTCGTTGCCATCGTTCTTGCCAATCTCGACTCGGGGATCGAGACTCCATTCTGTAGTTGTGGGGTGGAGGTTCATGATGGCCCTCAGGTAGTCGCCCAGGGAGATGGAGACGTACATGCCGCAGACGATGAGCCTGGCTGTGTTGAAGAGGTCATGGTCCTGCTTCGCGAGAGCCTCACCCCGCTGCTCGGTGGTGGCATCCGGCCTGCAGCTGAGGGTGAAGCGTCCGTTCTCGTTGATCTTCAGCAGCATCTCACAGACGTAGTTGTGGTAGCGGTTCCAGAGCACCAGGAGGGCATTGACGCCGGGCGGCTGCCCGAGCAGTCGCTTCTCGTGGAAGGTGTCGGGCTTGAGCTTCCCCTCCTTCATGGTGCGGACCTCGATCTGGTCTTTGAGCGAGGACCCGTACAGGGGAGCGAGGTCGAGGTAGGACGAAGTGTCCGTCTTGTTCATGTTGGTACGGTTGGTGCGGAAGATGTCGTGGATGATGATGGAGGCGTGGTAGAAGAGGACGGACGATATGCCGGCCGGGTTCTCCTTGAAGGTGTCATCGTCGCGGGCCATCAGCAGGTCAAACAGCAGGCCCGGGTCAGGCTTCACGCCGTGCAGTCGCTTCTCACTGCGCACCGACTTGGCGTAGGCCGAGCCAGCCTTGCCGAGGTCAGGCTGCAGTACGTTGTTCCCGCTGCCGTCGGGCATGCGGTAGTGGTGGGAGCCGTTTAGGGATGGGTGCGCGCGCTCGCGCAGCCGGGTGCCGTTGTCCGGCACATCGAACTCGACCACGTCGTGCTTGGCGGCATTACCGTCTGACTCGGTGTTTGCATCCCCGGCCTTGACAACCTCGTACTGGGAATCGCTCCCCATGAAGCTGAGCGGCGGGTGTTGAAGGTCGCCCCAGAGCTTCTGGATGAATTTGTTGGTAAGCTGGGCCCGCACAGTAGAGTCTGCGGGGAGAGCTGTGAGGAACTTGATCAAGAGGTCCGTTGCGCTATCGGTCTCCCAACTGTCAGTCCATGTTCGACGTTTGCTGATCTGTTCCAGATTCTGGGCGCGCTGTGACTTTACCCCTTCCTGTCGTCGGACGGGCCCTTGGCCATGAGGTCCTTCAGTATGGAAAGCAGCTCAGGGAAGGTCAGCTCCCCGCGGGCTGCGACATAGTCCGTGAAGAGGGCCTTGGCGGCACCGACAGGGTCCGAGAGATCGATGGGCTTTCCCTTTGTTGGTTCCGGGTCCGCGTAGGATTCGCCAGCCTGGAACTTCTCGTTAGAGGGCATGATGGGCTGATTGGAGACTTGGCTGCAATGTAAACAGTAGTCTCGATAGGGAACAGGATGAGAACACTGAATAGAATTCTAATCGTGCACCGTCCAGCTGCGCTTCCAGTGAAGTTGAAGAGGCCATCTTTATACCGCGCACTTCATCACCTACCTTATCTCCGAGCCTCGATATCGAACGTAGAGAGAGACGAAGACGCCTGAGGCTTACGACTCGTCTGCCACCATTGGATACATCGTGAGGAGACGTGCATGCTCAGCCTGAAGCACCCTTTCCGGCAAGATCAGACCCTGTCCCGCAGGTGACGTTGCGCAGGTAAACCTCGGAATGGTAGAGAGGACTCTCCTGTGAGAGAACTTGTCGTGTGCAGTAGGTGATTCTTGTTCTCTCGGCTGCGCCACTTCTGGAAATAGGTGTAAGATCACCGCAGTGACTGAGCTGAGCCGAGTACGTGCGTGCTCGACGGTGAAGGTGCCTCAACGAATTACAATCATCACAATGCTGACCGCTACCCGTCCGTCATTACCGATATGCAGGATAGAGCGCTTTCCAGAGCTTGCGGAGACCGGGAGGAACGGCCCTGAGGTTCCCAGGCTGACTCCGATGGATGACGGCGGCGATCAACGGGATCTTCGCCCCCAACCTCGATGTCGAATGGCTGGCCTACACAGCAGGTTTCCCGACCCCTTGGCTGATTCGATCTTTCTTGGCTTCGGGGTCCGTCAACGAGACCTCCGCCAAGAGGCTAGTATGTGTGGCTCGGGATGCGCATAGCGGGCCGTTGCCGCACGCCGAGGCGTGTTATCCCAACGGTGTGCATGCTTTATACATAGACGATCTACTCCGCACTCTGCGTGTTGCTGACCTATAGGCACGGGGGAATACGTGTAAGCATCACGGCTGACGTTGCTAGCCTCGCGGGATTCTTTTCTCTTCTTCCCCTGCCGGTTATGTGCCCGACAATGTAGGGTTGAAGCTGCTGGTTCAGGAGAATATGTGATATTCCAGATCTAACCAAATAACACAACATACTATGTGCTACTATCAGTGTGGTCGTCTCCAGACTCTCGGGAGTCAACGCAGAAATACGCAGATCAAAACCTGTGCTTCGAAAGTAAAGTCACATCTCTAAAAGGAGAAGCAACCCCCCCCCTTTTTTTTCTTTTTCTTTCTCTCTTTTTCTTTTCCGGGACCAAAAAAATGGAACAAAAATCCCTTCAATAGTATTATGCCGGCCAACCATTAACGTAGTGATGGATTGCGGCTTAGAAGAGCTTGGGCTATATCCGACGAACGTGCCGCACGTTCTACACCGTACTGTGAACCGGGCGTCGACCGATGGGGGCAAGATCATCGACATGAGACAGCTGTTCTTAGACTGCTCTCCGCCGCGGGACGCTGCATGTATTTGTGCATGCATATATGGGTAATTGTATATACGCCATATATGATTGACTGGCCATACGTGGTAAGGGTCTGGAATGAACAGCGATTCATGGAGCAGAGATGTGTATGTAGGTACCATGCGGAGGATCTGATCCAAAGGCGACCAGGGAGATAACTGAGCCAAAGAAAAAGAACCATGTCTCGGTGTAATATTCCATTTTCTGCCATAATATTCAGTATCATTGACCCCTGAAGCTGGTCTCAACCGGCCGGTGATCGAGAAGTTTTCTCCTCAGCCGTAGCAAGTTCTTGAACATGTCATGTAGCAGAAGGCAGTGGCATTGAAGTCTGGATGGGCCTGGAATCTATTTAAAGTATCCAACTCGGAACCCAGAGGTGATGCTTCTCGCTTCAGAGCAGAGTTTTCATCACTGCGCTTCGGTCACTGCGCTTCGGTCACTCCCGTTGCCATCTTCCCCTTGTACAACGTGTATTTCATCACATCAATACCATACCCCCTTTTCTCTCCCCCTTTTGAGTCTTTTTGAGCCGCTATGCCTTCTCGCGTCAACGGGGAGAAAAAGGAGAAGGAGCCGAAGAAGCTCATTCTCTGCTTCGATGGCACTGGCAACGAGTTTACCGGGTCCGATGCCGATACCAACGTCGTGAAGATCCTGAACAAACTGGACCGCCAGAATCCCAAGCAGTACCATTACTACCAAGGTTAGCTACAAATCCCTGCTCCGCCGGGAGGCGTGGAAAACATGAACATATATACACCTATATATGTTATGGTAGATATGTATCTAGGCTCTCACTGAACAATGTTGGCTAACAAAAAGAACGCCAACGTAAGCCGGAGTCGGCACTTATGATATCAACGAGACGTCGGTGCACAAGTCTTGGATTGGAGAGACCAAAAGTTCCATCTCCCAGACCGTTGACCAGATGTTCGGGACTACATTCGATGCCCACGTCATGGCTGGTTACCGTTTCCTGATGCGGTACTACAGCTCTGTGAGTTGACCCATGCTCGAGACCCTGGTGTCCGGAAGCTTCTCCTCCCCCCCCCCCCCCCCCGCCTTCTCTTCTCTTTCTCTTCGTTTGCCTACCTCTGTTTCTTTCCGTTTACTGATAACCGACATCTCCTACTCCAGGGCGACAAGATTTACGTGTTCGGCTTCAGTCGTGGTGCATTCACTGCCCGTTTCCTAGCGCGCATGGTCCATACTGTCGGGCTCCTGTGCAAGGGCAACGAGGAGCTCGTGCCCTTTGCCTACCGGCTCTTCCAGCGATACCGCGCCGGCGAGATCGACATGTCCAAGCAAAGTTCAACGAAGAAGGCGGTGGTGGTGAATGGGACAGCGTGCGGCGGCCCCAACGGATGCGAGACGGATCCTCTGACGGAGGGTGCTGACAAGGGCGAGTCCCAGGGGAAGGGAAGCCACCTGCACGAGTACGAGGTTGCCTGCGACGAGGTGACGGCCTTTAGCAACACCTTCTGCCGCCAGGTGCCGACCGAGGTGGAAGGGGTCACAGCCAACGTCAAGGTCTTCTTCCTGGGCATCTGGGACTGCGTCAACTCGGTGGCGGTATTGGAGAAGAAGACGCCGGTGCCGGCGCCGGTGCGCGGGACGGCAGACTATATCCGCCATGCCGTGGCCATCGACGAGCGCCGCGTCAAGTTCAAGCCTGCCCTGTTCGCCCAGGACGTCGTCGCCGCCAACGGCGACGCCGAGGACATCAAGGAGGTCTGGTTCCCCGGCGGCCACAGCGACGTCGGCGGCGGATGGCCGGCAGTGGTAGACAAGACGCTCGACACCAGGACGGGCCAGATGACCTTTTGGCAGCGCGTCAAGAACCTGTGGACGACCAGCAAGGGCAAGGAGCCGTCCCACGATGTCAGGTCCGACCCCTTCCAGATGAGCGACATCCCCCTGGACTGGATGATCCGGGAAATGGAGCTCGTGGGCAAGGAGCACCCCGAGGCCGCGGTCAAGTGGGCCGACAAGAACGTGAATGGCTTCAAGCATGCCTTCCAGCGCGCCAGGGACCAGGCACTGAACGGATATCTCCACGATGCCCTCGAATTCGGCCGTGGTACAGGTCTATTCACCGTGCTCCTATGGAAGTTTATGGGTAAGTTGAGTCCCATCATCAGACTGTGTGCCTTCGACGTCAAACAGATCAAATTCGACATGAGATGCGATTGCGCTGACACATACGTGCCCCCCCCCCCCCCCCCCCCTTTGAAAAGAATGGCTTCCCTTCATCACGCGCTGGGAAATGGAAGACAATGTCTGGGTGAATATTCGCTTCCCGCTCAACAAGGGTTCGTCCAGGGACATACCCCGCGATGCGGTACTGCACGAGTCGGTCCTCTGGAGGTTGCAGAATGACCCGCAATACAATCCGCCGAACAATCATGGTGGTACCGGAGACCCATGCCTCAAGAACGAGAAGAAGGGCATTGCCAAATTCGAAGGCATCAACGGTTCGGACGAGATGCACTCTGGCCACCGGATTTATAGATTCTCGGCGGAGTAGGATGGGTAGATGTGATCGAGCGGGTATGTATTACTGAAATCCTGCGTCCGTCACTCATGTCGTCATTTTTCTTCTTCTTATGGGCAAGTTCCCGTTTCTTTTCCAGAAACGGAGTCGCCTTTCCATGTTTTCTCTTCTGCAGGGGTAGATTGTTTCGGTAATATTGTGTGTTGGGGTGCAAGAGATGATTGAACTTGCCCCGTGTTCAGGTTTAGGAACATTTAGACGTAGGACCAAGCTTGACTTTTGCCATCCAAGCAACAGTGTACTAATATTACTACAAGATCTATACAAGTACGAGTCTTCCAGACAACGAGTCTGCTTGGGGGAGGGAGTAGTGAGATAGGCGACAAGGTCTGCGAATAGAGGCGAGGTAGAAGCGTTATACTGACGAAGGCACCAGTGACCAGCGGCTGATCAGTCTGCCATTTGTCGCGTGCCATATGGCCAGCCAACTCGTCAGGGTAGATCTGAGGGAAGATTCCATCGGCGCTGCCTTGCCAATCCCGACCTGCGCCGGTTGGGCGGTAGAAGAACTTGACATATTTCCCAGCATTCGGGGTACCGCCCAGCCTCTTCTCAGTCGGCCAGTGCAGCAATCCTGCCCTAGTCGACTATAATGTTCCTAGGCGCGAGGTTGCAGTAGGAGAAGACGACACGGTGGTCCGTACGCATACGGCGTGCAAGGGCGTTCCCACAGGAAGCGGTGCGAACCTCTCCACAGCCGATGAAAAGGTAGCTATTGAACGCATCCTCGTTCTGACAGGCCGGGGCGTTGTGTGCAAGTCGGTAGCGGGTGTGACGGATCTCACGGCCAGCGCAGCTACCGATAAAACCAGGCGGAGGTATAGACCTCATCTTGCTTAAAATGGCACGGGGCTGCTTAATCATGTCTGTCTTGTCCGTATCGGAGAGGCCTCCCCAAAACTCATCAAGCGTCCCCCCCCCCGGATGCATCCCATGGTAATGCGATTGACTGATGCCGTTAAGCGTCTCGGCACCATAGACGCGGGGTACCGGTATATGGACATCCAACTCTATACGCATCGCGTTGGCTTCTTCGAGCAAGACGCCCTTGCCACTTCTCATGGCGATGTTGTCGGCCAAACGCACGACACTTCTATCAAGATGCTGATATAGCACAGCTGGCCCTTGAAGGTACATTTTAGCAATATCACACCGGACGAAAGGGATTGGCCCTCATGTGGACACTGGCAAGAATCATCTTCTCTATTCAACCCCATCTCCTCCTCTGTTAGTTCCTCGTCCGACGACGGGACAGTCAAACCCTGTTCCTTCTTCTTGGCTCTCAGCTTCTTCTCGAAATCCGAGCATGCTGGTGGCTTCCTCGTAGGCCGTGCCGGAATTACCTTCCTTCTCTCCAGAGAAGTTCATCATCACTGTTGCCCAGAAATTGTTGGCACAAACAGGGTGGCGGACAGTGGGAAAACCCTTCGGGATGAGTCAACCCTGCAAACACCTCGTTGGTCACTATTTCCTCGAAGAAAGCATCAATTATCACAACACTAGACTAGAGAGAATTACATTACGAGTCCTCAACTTACAAGCACAAGAAAGCAGGAGAAGAAGGAACGGTGTCCAGCCGGCGCAAGCAGATGAAGCGGGACTCCGCGGTACCAAATCTGCGTGTACTATCACCACGTGCCTCCGCAGCTGTTATAGATCATGGCTTAGACGCTACTCTGATCTAGATCAGAATTGCATCAGACGTGGTCTATGCTCTGCTCAGCAAGGCTCTTTGTAATACTGGCGGGTTTGCAGATAGCATACGTGCCCATATGTGCCATGAACCGGTCCGCTCCGGGCCGGCCGGCCGTTGCCAGCCGGACTGACCGGGAGGAACGCGCTACAAGCAGCACCATCCAATGGCATCGGAGCGACGACGCTGGGGTTCGTGGACCCAACCTCTCGCACAGTTCGCTGTCGCATTTAAGACACTGCGCATCTTCCTCACCGCTACAGCAGCTTGTTCTACGGAAAGGAAGCGCCTGTTTCCAACCATGTCCTCTTCCAGTGGGAGTCCGTTCCCTTCGGACAAGGCCACGGAGCCGTACTGGCGCTCGACTACCCTACCCATCGACACATGCCGCAGCACCCCCGACCTTCCTCCTTGTGCCGATATTGTCATCATAGGTGCCGGCTATTGCGGCGCCTCCATCGCACACCACCTGCTCGCGGAGATTGCGCGCCAGGGCATCGCGGACCCCTCAATTGTGATCCTGGAGGCGCGTCAGGCGTGCTCGGGTGCCACGGGGCGCAACGGTGCGTATCACGCCTTGTGCGTTCACGTTGAGCCCTCCGATGATTAATATTGTAACCTTCAAGGCGGCCATCTCAAGCCGGACCCGTACCTGCGTGCGGCACAGGTGCTTGGCACGCATGGCAAGAGCGTTGCCGAGCATGTGGCCGTCTTTGAGGCACGGCAGGTCCAAGAGCTCAAGGAACTGGTGGAGGAGTGCGGCATTGACTGCGACTTCGAGGAGACCATGGTGACCGATGTTTGCCTGGGTGACGAGATCAGCGACAAGATGGCACAGGCGCTGGAGCGAACAGTTGCCGCCGGCGTATCAACCGCCCTAGCCGCCCAACACGATGCTGGCCCTGAAGCTGAGCGGGTAAGGGACTTCCGGAGGAGCAGTGCCGGGAACATGGAGGCCTCCCTGTCCGAGCACATAGCGGATATGCTGACTACTCACACACCAAGATTTCTGGCGTGCGCGGCGCCAAATCGTGCCTGAAGTACAAAGCCGCACGGCTGTGGCCATACCGCCTGGTCTGCCACATGCTGGAGGCCTGCGTCTCCCGCGGCGTCAACCTGCAGACGATGACACCGGTCACATCCGTGTCAACCTGCGACGACGGCGTTAGATCGATAGTCGCAACGCCGCGGGGCTCCATCACGACCTCGATCGTGATCCACGCTACAAACGGCTATAGCTCAGCACTCCTGCCCGAGCTACGGGACAAGGTCGTGCCGGTTCGCGGCATCTGCGCACGGCTCACGGGCCCTGCACCGCACCCACCCATCGCGGACAGCCACATGCTGCGTATCAATGATTCCGAGTACGACTACCTGCTGCCGCGACCGGACGGCAGCATAATCGTGGGTGGCGGACGGCGCGACTACTTCCACGATCTCGCCAGCTGGTTCAACGTGTCTGATGACGGGTCACTCATCGAAGAGGCGTGCCACTACTTCGATGGCTATATGCAGCGCCATTTCATCGGCTGGGAAGATGCGGATATCCGTACGGACCAGATATGGACCGGCATCATGGGCTATTCTAGCGATGGCTTCCCCTACATCGGCGCCGTGCCCGCCCGCCCCGGTACCTACGTCTGCGCTGGGTTTACGGGTCACGGAATGCCCCAGATATTCAATTCCGCCAAGTACATCTCTCTGCTGGTCCTCAACGGCACAGTTGACGCGCAGCATACCGTGCCCCTCCCCTACCAGATCAACCCGGAGCGGTGGGACAGCACTCGGGAACACTCGTCACTGACTCTGTGGCGGTCCGTCATGGTATCGCGCGGCAGCAGAGATTGAATCAAGGCAACGTGGTAAATTAGCGGCATACGTGCAGCCTACATAGTAATCCGATCCATTTGGTTCAGAGGCAGCAGTGGTCTGGGACCAATCCCAGGCTGTTAGCAAGGCTCCCACCGGAGTTCCCGCTGTCGCCGTAAACCGTGTCAAACAGAGCCGAAACCTGGTCTAGATGCGGGAAGGTCTGCCCGAAGAAGGGCTCATCGTCGTCGTCGGTGGCAGGATGGAAATGCTGATGGTTCCTAGCGGTATGATCTGGGGAGCCGTCTGCCGGAATGGTGCGGTTATGGCGGCACCAATTCATAAATCCCTCGTACCCGCCCTCGACCACGGCCGCATCGGCCGTGGCCGGCTTTCCATCGGCGAGATGCGTCGTAGTTGGCGACTGGAAGGTGTTGATATGCTCTAGGGCGGCCTCGAGTGTCTCGATGAGCTGGACCTCGGATCGCGCAGAGTCACCGGCGTATGCCATGGCTCTGATGGCATTGAGCCCGCGCCGCAGCGCGCCGTGCTTTGCGTTTGTGCGCTCTCGGATGCTGTACGCCAGCAACACCAGAAGTGACGCCCGGCACGCACTATACTCGATGTAAGCAGACCTCGTGAGCCCGATAGGCCCTGTACGCATCGCTTCGCATATATCTAGCGCCTCCTCGGCTGCCACTACACAATCTCGGATGAGAAGTGACCACGGCCGTTCCTCCCCTCCCCCTTCCTCCAGTCTGCTAGAGGGCGGCGTCGGCGTCGTCTTCTCCGTCAGTATAAAGGGTCGACCCACAAACATTTCCAGAAGGCAGTGCTCAAGCTGTGCGTGAAGCATTACCCGCGACGGTTCCGCGGTGGTTTCTGACCTGCCGCCCCTTCGAGATCTCCACCATCGGGTGCAGTCACCCTTGGTCTTCTTGAGGTGGTCAAGCACCCCTGCTGTGTCGGGTAGCTGGCAATTCCGCAGAAGCAGCCTGGGAGCCGTTAGGAGAGGACGGTATGGAGGCCGAAGGTGAGGCCATAGACTCACAGATCGTGCTGAAAGCTCTCGAGGTATGCTGTTCGTTCTATGGCGTCTACAAGATACGCCACGTTTGCCGACCCGCTAAGAGATGAGAACGCGGGGCTCTCTATAGGAAGGTTGGCGTCGAAGTCGGACCGTGAGATGGCGGGCGGGCGCCCATGGAACATGCCTATCTTCCTTTGGGTCTGTTAAGAATCGGTGTCGTAGCACGGCCATTTCCATACGTGCTATCTCGGATCGCTCCCGGGGACTCACCTCTCGAGGCAGTATACCGTCCACCATAGACGACACCGTGCCTCTTCTTTCAGCGCATCTAGAACCTGCGTCACGGGTTTTCGGTGCATCCCATTCTGGATGGCCAGCTTTATGGCAAGATTCAGGTAGACGTACCCCAGCCCGGACGCATCGATGGGCAGGCAGTACAGCCCGAGAAGGAGACAGGCCTGCACAGAGATTAGAGAGCCCGAGTGGATCATCTCGGCGAGATGGCGAGTGACCTGAATGTACAGGGTCGATCCAAACTCGAGCTCCCAGCTCATCTTGTCGGGCCGGTCGACGACTGGCCCTTCCTCTGCCCGGCCGGGCGATTCTAGGTGGGCATACTGCGCCCCGACGGCCAAGACCATGATGACGGTGCAGGCGGGCACGGCATGTCTGGAGCAGCGTCGAGAGGGATCGCTATACAGGCCTTTGAGTGTAGCCATGACCCACTTCTGATCTAGGAAGAAGTAAAAGCCGGTCGCGTGAGCAAAGAAGACGTGCACCAGGAAGTTGGCGACGGGCTGTGGCGGGAGCTCGTGAAGGAGGTCCGTTATGGGCGTAGCGCCCGGCAGCGGCTCGGCCACACGGATGAACTCGGGAACTGTCTCCTCCCTGTCGAGCCGCTGTCGGGCCTGTCAGTACGTGCAATTGAGAAGATGCGCCGGCGGGGGCAGTGTGTGAGGCAGTACGTACTGGGACTTGGGAGGTGGCCATGATGGTATCAAGATTTCGTTTGACCCGCATGCTAAAGTTCCAATGAGAGAGCTCCCCCGAATAATCTGACGATCTGCCAGTCAGCACAGCTTTCATACATGTGCAGAAGCAGCACAGACAGAGACTCACGGGCCACAACATCGTCCATGACATCAATCGTGCAGACCTCATCCAGCGGGCTCTCCACGAGAGGTGAGGCCTCTTTCTCCGCCCCCGCGGCGGGCTGCTCCTCCTCCTCCTGGATACAGGCCGTACCGAGATGGCATGCGGGAACCGTCAGGCCCTCTGCGACTTGCCTAAGACTCTCCGTATCTAATGAAAGGGACGGTAGATGTTGCTTGAGGACCGCCTCCATATACCGTGAGCGCTCCAGCAGGGTGCCCACTCGTTCGATCTGTGAGGCTTTTGCCCTATCTGACGGGGGTATCGTAGCGCTGTACTCGCAGTGCCGATTCAGATCTCGACAGCGTCGGCAGGGTATGCCTTCCTCACATTTCTCCTTCAGACGGCGACATTCGATGCAGGCGCGTACGGCACGTTGACGCTCCTGCGGCCTCGTGGCGCTGCGTCGCTTGCTGACCCCTGCACCGGTGTTGAGCATTGTTCCCTTCTCTTCCACGTGCTGGAATCTGATATTCTAATGGAAAGATTCGAAGAAGAAGCGTGGTGCATGGATAGATGGCATTGAGCAGAGACAAGATGCGAGTAAGGTAGGGGAGATAGATAGTCGCCAATCGTCCTCTGGTATTGGTGTTTACCTATAGCGCGATTACATGCATTCAGATATGCACATGCAATTACATATGCGGAGAATAATTCCGGGATGACTGACTTGCGGTTAAGTACGGCTCATGATAAGGAAAGGTTCCTCCGTCCTGCATATGCCGTCCTATCTCGGAATCCCACCTTGGAAGAGATTAGATTAGAGAGTCATCTTCCCCGTCCCGGCACAGCCAGTCATGATACGGTCGGAAACACCAGAACGGTGAATGACGAGAATAAAATGAAAACTTCGTCGTATCCAAGTCTATGCTTTGGGATCGATGACACTCTGGTGGGAGACAGAAGCAGCGTACATGTAGACAAAATCTCTCCCCGGAACAGCGTCAACATCGTCTCATCCTGTCAGGTTCTTCTGAGAGATTTTAATGATCCCGTCGGCCAGCTCCAACAGAGAGTCGGCCATGACCTCCATCTCAGCGTTTTGAAACACATCCAGGCATGGCTCCTTCTCCAGCGCGGAACACCACGCCCCCCTGAAGCCAACCTTGGTCGCTGCAGACACATCCCACATGTGCGCTGCAGCGAACCACTTGGCACCGTCCCTCCCCAGGCGTGCCCACACATGCTCATATGCCGCCAGAGCTGGCTTAGCGACGCCTACCGAGTCAGAGCTGATGATGTTCGCGACCGGCAGGCTCACTGACGCACGATCGAAATAGCCCCTGACGCGCTGGATGTCGCCTGTGGTGAAGCACCAGACCGTGAAACCGTTATCGCGAAGTTTCTGGAAGGAGGCGTCGCAGTCCGAGCGCAGCTTCAGGCTAGAGTAGCCCTGGATGCAGGCCTCACGCTCATCGTCGGTGGCCACGGCCCGCGGGTTGGCGACGCCCGCCATCCAGAGTGAGCGGTAGAACAGCCCTCGCATGACGTCCTTGTACGCCAGGTAACTGCCCGCCACTGACAAGAAGGTGAATTCAAGCTCGGCTGCCGTCTGCCACGTGAAGCCAAAGTGCTTAGCCGTCATTCCGTGCTGTCGTAGCTTGCCACCCATGACATTCTCTATCGTTTCGTAGTAAGCGTCAAAGGAGACACACGTGCCCACGACGTCGAACACGACGTGATTCGCCTGTTCTGCCATGGAATTGAATGGTGATGATAAGGAAGGGGGGTAGCAGGGTTAGGGTACGTGTGGTGTACATGTAGGGACAGAAATAGTTCGGCTGTCACTTTGCAATTGCGCTCTCCTGGTGCGGGGGCTGCAGAAATAAATCAAGGCTGGCAATGGTATCGTCGATAGCAATACGGATTTTTCTGCTTCCATGCTGAGCGGAGCAATCCGTAACTCTGTGATGGCCTCGAGGCCATAAGATACATGCATGCACCACCAGGCTGTACCGGCCCGGCTTCAATGACTACGTGTGTTGATACTTGTCATGTAATAACACAAACATGTACACATGTATGTATCTGAAGGCCCCGCCCCGGGCGTGCGCATTCCACCGGTCCGGACCGGACCGACCAGGGGGTTCAACCTGTGCCAGCCTCTTATTCCGTGCATATTTATCGACTACGTTATCTGAGTATACACGCCAAGCGGGCACTTGTAACTTTCAATTTCGCGGTACGAAACTCGGCATACATTCTATCTAGTTTTTCGCGGTCTCTCCCCCCCCACCTGTGTGCTCCCTCGTCTTCGTGCGGTTTTCCGTCTCTCGACAATGGTTCTTCCTGGAGCCAACCCCGGCAGATCCTACTGGATCGAGGCCGCAAGTTCGCCCCTACACGACCATCGATCAACCGAGGAGCTCCCGCAGACGACAGATGTAGCCATCATCGGCGGAGGCTACACGGGTGCGGCCACCGCCTATTGGCTGGACAAGAATACCCAGGGCCATGCAAAGCAGCCGTCGATGCTTCTCTTGGAAGCTCGCGGCATCTGTTCAGGCGCCACGGGTCGGAACGGTGAGCTTCCTTCCTCTAGGCTTACGGCCGACGATGCATTCGAGTCGCTGACAGAGCAGGCGCCTTGCAGGTGGCCAGCTACGACCTCATGCGTACTCGCGGTATCCGATCTGGGCAGCGCGCTTTGGCGCGCAGACTGCCATGGAACTGATCCGGCATGAGATGGAACACCTCGCGGCCTTCAGGGAGCTGGCCGAGGAGGAGGGTATTACGGAGGAGATATGTCTCCAGTTTGGCGAAACCTTTGATGCAGCCATGACCGAGGAGGCTTGGACACGACTGAAGGGGGCTCTTGATGCCATGCGAAGGGACCACGGCGACGAGAACGACATCGTCCAAGCCTGCAAGGTCATCTCAGATGCTGCCGAGGCCCAGGACTTTTCGCAGATGAAGGGCGCTCTGGCCGCCGTGGTGCATCCTGCTGGTCAACTGTGAGAGACCCAACTGCGCTCAATACATGCATCGTCACCATCGATTTGTGGGCATCAATGGCTGACGCTGGGGAAACAGGTGGCCATACAAGTTCGTCCATGCAATTCTACGCATCGTCATGGCACGCGGAAACCTCAACGTACAGGCATACACACCTGTAGATCAAGTCTCGGAGCGGGACGCGGACGGATGGATACGCATATCAACCCTGCGAGGGCATGTGCGCGCCAAGACTGTCGTGCATGCGACCAACGCCTGGGCATCGCACGTCCTTCCCGAGTACAGAAAGCTGATCCTGCCCGTAAGAGGAACGCTTGCCGCTATCAAGGCCCCCCCGGGCTTCATCAAGCACACGGGTGCACAGCACTGGGATGCCGTCGTCAACAACTACCACCTTCAGCTTCCGGCCCCATACAACGTCATCCTTCTTGGCGGAGCGCGGCAGTTTCTGGTACACCGACCTTCGGAATGCGTCTTCAGAGGCGATGACGACAGGCAGATGCCAGGAGTTGCAGAGTTCCTCCGAACCTGGCCATCTTCAGACGTCGTGGGATGGCCCATCTCCGAGGCGCACACCGAGCTTGCAGACGAGGCCGACTGCTGGACAGGAAGTTGGTGCGCCTTTACCTTGAGAGATGATGTCGAAGAGACTAACCAGAGTGGCACCGAATAGTTGAGACCGACACTGCGGATGGTTTCCCTTTTGTCGGCGCGGCTCCTGGACACCCCGGCCATTGGGTGGCTGCTGGCTTCGCAGGACATGGTAACCACCACCAATACGACAATGTTTCGGGAAAGACACCAATACTGACGTTGAATCTTATCGCCAGGAATGCCGCGAATACTGCTCTCCGCTGCTCATGTTTCAACTTTGGTGCTGAATGATCTGGGCATGGATTACAGTAAGCCGAAGGGTGCCGCTCAGTTGCCATTGCCCGGGCCCTTCCTCGCCACACCAGAGCGAATTGATCGGCTCCAAAGTACGGATGTAGATGGCATGAAAGATAGCTATGTGGCCAAATGCAAGGCAAGCAGCACCAAGCCGTTTTGCAACGACGAGAGGAGCAAGGGATCGTCATCGACGTCGACTTCATAAGAGCTCCGCGTCAGGGATCCATCAGCAGCCTCATATGCCTACCGGCGTCGGGCTATCATGTACATTCCCACGCACTTGGAGGAGTAGGACTGCACTCACTTCCCCTACGTAATCCATAGTCTGTCGCTCTTTCTTTTCCCTTCATCTACCTCGAGGACGAAGGATTCTTTAGCTAGTCACTCTATGAACATATTCAATCTTATGCCTCGTTCTTCCGTGATGTCGTGGTGACCTCCGCCATTATTTGTTCTTTTGCTTTTCCGCTCGCACGAGGCACGATATGGACACAGCCAGCCTGCGTCAGCATAGTAAAACCACTCTTCTAATGTTACTTTCAACTACAGAAACTATGTTAGCACAGTACTCAATAGCGGTGTCCTGCCACTATGCTCTTGGTCCCCCTCGTGAGACAAAGCAGATGCAGAAGGATGTATTGCTCATTGTCGGTCCTCCAACATCGCCTTGTGGGGAGACGGCAGACCCTACTCAAATTTGAATTCCATTGTATTGTCAAAAACCAGAAACACCAGCATCTATGGGCTCAATTTCCAATACATCCTGGGTTTGAGAAAATAGCCCCTCCCCCCTCGTATATTGAACGAGGCACCTTGGCGTTTGGAAGGTATACTTACACGTAATGGGCAATTTGCCGCTTCCCACATACCCCCCAAAGGGTGCCTTATCCATTCCCAGAGAGACGGATCGATGTCGGCCACAAAAAGAAAACATGAAGCAGGGATAGTCTGAAACAGCAGGTTGGTGTAAGCGCTGGTTCATGACGCCAGGTAATTAATGCTTCTTCGTGTCCACTCCTTGTGGATCTCCAATCTCTTGATCCCCTATTACATGACCTTTGGGGTCGATGCCCTCGGTCTCCAGCATGCCAGGAACCGGCGGCATAATGTGAATCAGCCACCACAAGAATGGTAGACTAGCAACAAACAGGCCACAGTTGACGTAGAGAGTCGTCGTTCCGCCGATGCTGGACGAGGAGTTGATGCCGTAGGACACTGCCTGGCCTGCCGTCTCAAAGGCGCGAAATAGTCCTCCCATGCGCGCCGTGTTCCCCACGTCCAGTGAGAAGTTACCGAGGATCCAATAGAGTGAGAGCTGTGTCCAATAGCCCACCACAAAGATGATGAGATAAGGTATATACGCACGAGCCCACGAGCCCGAGCTTCTGCAATCGGAGTCAGGACCCTGCCGCATCTAAGTGGGATACGGGAATGGAGGCACTCACGTTACGTAGTCGAGTGCGGGTTGAGATGCCACACGGTGATTCTCGATGCCAATCCAGATGAAGGCTGCAGCGGCGGGGATCACCCAGAGGAGTATACAGAGCTGCGCATGGCGCTTCCTCGACGTCCAGTTGCCGTCCAGGATCTTACCGTAAGCGAGTACCGACGGTATAGTAAGAGCGGCTATTGATAGGCTGGTTAGTCTATAAATGCGGCAATCGGGGGGTGGCAGAAGAGCGAGGGTGCCACCACACGTACGGACGATAAGAGACGACAGGGCGCGGGCGCGCACAGAGAAGTGGAGGCTGAGATATGTTCCCATGGTTCCACCATAGAAGAAACTATAGAAGCTGGGCACGATGATACCCAGAACCTACGAGCAGGTCCACGTCAGTATGCGGGTCGTTCAACGCCCAGGACTGAGGTCTCAATGTTACCGACCTGCTTCTTCTGCATGGCCTTCCACAGTATTCGAAACTCCTGTTTCCAAGAGAGCCTATCGGGTACGAGAATCTTACTTCCGTCGCTTCGTGCGACCTTGCGGGTGGGCGAGAGTAGCAGGGCGCAGATGACGCCCATGCATTCAAACGAGATGAATATCACGTAGGTTGACCACGCCACACCTGGTCCGAAGTGTTAGCTGACTGCGCACGTAGATCTGTCTCCGGACATGTGAGATTAGAAACATACCTCCAGCAGAAGATGCCCCGCGGTTCTTGGAGAAATTGATGGCTCCTCCAATCAAGCTTCCGCTGCTACGCATCGCCGACCAGATACCTGCAGTGACACCTTGTCAGCTAAATTATCTCGTAGTGCAGATATCATCGCCAGTTATCGTTACCAAGGTAACTGTACGTAACAGTCAGCGTTCCGAGAACCAATTTGAGGAATGATTGATACCTCCTTGGGGGAGGGATCGTAGGGAACATGTTGAACATACAGGCCTCGCTGCTCAGGCTGAGGGTAGGATAGCATGGCAGTCGTCTCGGCGACATAGAGGAAACCCGAGGCGGCTCCGTCGATGAGATTTCCGAATAAGAGATACCAGTCGACCCCATAGCGGGAATTGACGTACAAAGAGGAGCCACGCAGTGGCATGGCCATGGCCGCGATGAAGCAAGACCATTTGATTCCGATCTTATTAATAAGTGGCCCGCCGGCAATGGTGACCAGAAAGCTCATGCCGTAGGACAGTGAACTCGAAATATTAGCCAGCCACGGTTTGGAGAGTCCGCCGCCGCCCATGTTGGACAACTACAACTCGATGGCATTAGATATTTGGTGACTAGGTTAGGTCCGATCCGGGGAATATGGGAGTCGTCAATGACAACTTACCGCATCTGACATGGCAGGGCCAACAAATGAGAGGCTGAAAGGGAAGAAGTTAGCCCGACAAGATACATCAACTTGGGCGTTGCTGCTCTGAGCGTTTGCATCAATACTCACGCCCCAAACAATATCATCTGGAACAGGACGCTCCGATAGAAGCCAGACGCCCATGGCGAGCAGCCCCTATTCACCGTGCTGCCGGAAAGATCATTCGACATGATGATACGCGTTGTTTCCTTGGGTTGCGAGAGCTTACAGGACATTCAGACATCACTGAGCGCTTCACTTGAAGTGGCAATACAAGAAAACATATTTATCTTGGTTCCATCTACATGGACATATCTAATCCTTGTCCGGCTATATGTAGCGGCCGGAGCGTCTCCCACCGGTCCGGCCGCGTGGGGGGGGGGGGGGGGGGGGGGGGGGGGGGGTTCTCTTATAGGTGTATACGTATGCATGTATAGATTGGCCCCGGTCCACTGGCGATAACAGAGATATACGTGCGGCTGCCTAGGCAGTACGAGCTCGATGTTATCAAGAAACTACCAACCTGCCTAGATTCAACACGGGGAACCGGTAATCGGAAATCGGCTATGATGGACGAGGATAAAGGTCACCTTATATTTGCGCCAACTTTAGATACATGTAGACGCATGATCCAGGAGTCTATTTTCGGATAATCCAACCTTGCATTTCGAGCATCATCCTCAAGGTCAGCAACCTCGCTAGGTGATAGACTATATGTAGTTGGGTCGGTAACGACTAGCAAATACCTGCTGCTGTACGCTTTTCTCTTCTTCTTTTTCTTCTCTTGATTTTTCTTCTATTTTACTCTACATATGTTTCGTAGTTTAAAAGTTAGACATGCCAACTTGCTTGTCATCGAGCAGGAGTAGTATCGCGCCTCACATCACGGGGGAAAAGAGTGGCCACGGATTAGACAGCGCAAGGTCTGATAGCAAAGTGTCATGACCAAGCTTCTATGGACGTTCTCGTCTGCCAAGACGGGTACATCCCTGTATAATAAAGCAGCTTTATGATGATAGTGAGTGTAGGCATGCAGGAGCCTCACGCTTCTGCCGCCACAAATAGTCCCTGATCACCCACTGGAATCTGACACCGGACCTCGCCGATATCGTCAGATTTCACAGCTGTTGTTAGCTAGGGTGGCATCGCAGCTGTCAAAAGTATCCTCATTTGGGAGCCATCAAGGCCTCTGTGCCAGCCAGCGTATCGATACCTGTTATTCTCCTCTGCTCCTCGACTAGAAGGTGCGACTGATTGGGGGGTTCTTCTTCTTTAACGGGCACAAGGAGTGCAGTAGATATTCAGTTCACTGTTGCGGAGAGAAGCCTCGCAAGTAGTCTCCTTCGATGTGAGGTTCTTGCCATCATTTTGATCAACCGATCCGTTCATAGTAGAGTCAAACGTCAGTTGACCCAACATAACTACTTTCCATGACTAGAATTGAAGATCGTTACGGTACTGAGGTTTAGCAAGAAAAATTAAAGGACGAATTAGAGATCGATCTTATCGTCTCTTTTCAGGCAGACGACGCCGAAATGGCCCTTATTCTCATCCCTAGGCGGGTTGAGGGGGAGGTGGAGGCCGAGCCTCTCTGTCCGGGTCGGCGTGGGTGATGAGTTTGTCATAATACGACCTGGGCTACGGGAAGAGAGCACACGGCAACAAATGCCGGTTGATATCGAAATACTACATCATCCAAGCAGAATCCTCGAAGAGGTGAGCACATATTAAGGGGGGGGGGCGTACGGCTAATCTCTCGTATTCGTACAAGGCTGCAATGCCAATTCTCGATGCACAACACTGCGATTTGATGGCCCCTTTATTTTGTTCAATCACAAAATCTTCAGCAGGCGAGTCTTTCATGAGAATGCTACCCCGCTGCAAGAGTAACGGTAGCGATTCGGTGTAAATGTCATATTTCTTTGAGTCTCATTGAGTTTTTCCTCGTGGAAAGTTCGATACAGTTCCAATACGAGCGATGATACCAGGTTGCTGTGAAAGCACGCCTTCTTCAACCGCAGACACAGAGATTCAATTGCGTAATAGGCTGTTTTGGGAGCGTTGCAACGTATGATGAGACTATAAATCAGATGGAGAAAACAGATGATGGAGACTGACTTCACAACCCTCTTCTTCTCCTCTACCCCTCACGTTGACGCATTTTGAATATCCTCACTCTCACGCTCTCTCGATCCCCCTCCTCCCCAACGTACATCTCCATCACCGGTATCATGTCAACTACAACTACAGCTACATCAACCGTGACCTGGGTCACCCCTGCTGCGAAGCCACCTCCGGGGCAGCCTGACATCGCCTACGCTCCAGACTATGATAACTGGCAGGCCCGTGTGGCCAGGCGGCTGGCTGACGGGAATCTCCCCACCAGTGTCCCCGAGGGATTCCCGGATAAGCTGGAGGGAGACCTGGTCTGGGAGGGTTCGACACTGGCAGAGACGTACAACTGGACGTACTCGCTCAACTCCGAGCAGCTAGCCGAGATCGACGGAGCTGTGGCTCACTTCAAGTGTCCGTATCTGCTGTTTCATCTCTTCCTCTCCTCTCAGTACGATGGTTGATGGGTCTTTGGGTTGCTGGTGGCTGACTCTAGACTCTGAGCGGATCGGAAAAACAACAGCTCTTGGACTTTCGCTTGGTCATATCAGTGCAGAGACGTTCCCACTCCCCAAACTCCACCCGGAGCTTCGTCGCCTGTCGGGCGAGCTGCACCACGGCCACGGCTTCTTCGTCATCCGTGGCGTCGACGTCGACGCCCACACAAGGGAGGAGAACATCATCATCTATGCTGGCATCTCCTCGCACATTGCCGCCCAGCGAGGTCGTCAGGACCACAAGTACGACGGGAGACCTGCCGACGTGGTCCTCGCTCACATAAGGGACCTCAGCCACTCTGACTCCAACAAGGTCATCGGCAGCCCCGCCTACACGACTGACAAGCAGGTTTTCCACACCGATGCGGGCGACATCGTCTCGCTGTTTGCCCTCGGCACGGCCAAGGAGGGGGGCGCCAGTAAGCTCGCCAGTACATGGAGGGTGTATAATGAGATTGCGCGCACGAGACCTGACCTGATCCATACCCTGTCCGGAACATGGGACTTGGAAGTGTACGTTGAATCCTTTGTTCCTCTCGCCGACAGGGCATGCACTCTCTACCGAGTACATGCACGGATAGAGCCTAGGTGGTAGCACTGACATCAAAACCTGGGACTCTTTGTAGCTTTGACAAGACCGACGGCAAACCGTGGATTGAGAGGCCCCTCCTGAACCTCCTGCCGGCCACCAACGAGAACCCCCAGAGGGTGACCCTGCAGTATGCTCGACGCTCCCTCGTGGGATTCGGTGCACTCCCACGCGGTACCAACGTGCCTCCCATCACTGAGGCACAGGCCGAGGCTCTCGATACGCTCCACTTCACCGGAGAGAAGTATTGCGTCAACACCAAGTTCCAGAAGGGCGACATCCAGTATATCAATAACCTGGCCATCTTTCACGCCCGAGATGGTTTTGTTGACCAAGGCGAGAATCAGTGAGTCGATATCACGCATGTGAAGCATATATACCAGAGCTGACAGTATATGCGCCCCCCCCCCTCAGGAGACATCTGCTTCGCCTATGGCTGCGCGACCCTGAGAATGCTTGGCCCACTCCCCAGGTTCTCCAGGAGAGGTGGGACACCCTCTACAAGGGTGTTGAACCGGAAAATCAGGTCTTTCCCCTCGAGCCATTCATCCGCAGTGCATCGAACAAGAATCGGTAAAGAGTCCCACTGTGACAGGTGTCCCGTTTGGCGCCGTGCATAATGGTCGTGCCCATTGAGTCTCGTCGAGTGCTACTGGTCATAGTGGACGATAGCCTAGCTCGGGATGCAGAAGGTGGACTGTGTACTGGAGTGAGAAAGATTATGTTGAAACGTACATATATATGATCGGGTCAATAACATTCGCGTCAGTCGCAAATAACAAAATTTTGCTATTGTACCTTTCTTCCATCCTTGTTCCTTCGTGTCTGCTTCATGAGGTCGGTGACGCCCTCATTGTCCCGTGAGCTTAGGAACAAACGTTTTCATATTTCAGCCCCCTGAAACCTCATGCCTTTGTCGGGCCATGGGGACAGGCGCTAGCAAACCTCATTGTTTGCGGTGCGACGCGGCAAGCATCTTAACGACACACAAACATGACAAAAGTAGTCCCAACATGCTTGTTGAGGGAATTAGTCATGACAGGGTCATGATGGACTAAGAAGGACGTCGAAATATCGACCGTTTTCAACTTTTTAGTCAAATATACTCACTCAGTGATGTGTTTTTTTCGTAATGAGCGTGCCGCATGTCGGTATCGATGCCACTTGGAGCATTGTGGAGTATCATAAGGTGTACGAGTACTAGTCACAGATTCACGACTTGGCGCTGAAGAACTCGACGAACTCTTACTCATCATCTAAACCTCGATTCGAGGCACGTGACTTCTAAGCCCTGGCCTCACATATCGAGAAGCGAGGTGGGTGGGGGTCAATCATAACGAGCGCCGGCCAATCAGGAAATTTTCTGCAGTGGCCCTGGAAATTTCGCCCACAAAAAAAACTACAAGCCCTCGTCCCTCACTGCCTTTTTCCTCCCACGACGTGCAACCTCTTGTCAAACCTCACTCCATACTAACCCATCAACCCACCCAGGTCGCCCAAGATGAGTGTAAGTTTTTTTGGGATCAACAACGGCCTCCAATTCGACTTTGGAAAATACTGATGGGCAATGGATCATAGCACCGCAAGTTCGAGGCTCCCCGCCACGGTTCGCTGGCCTACCTGCCGCGCAAGCGTGCCGCCCGTCATCGCGGAAAGGTCAAGTCGTACGTATTCAAAAGAAAAAGAAAAAAACCAAAACAAATTCTTCCCCGGGTGCTTCTGCAAAAGGGCAAGCGGCTAACAGTTTACATTTCCATCTTCCAACAGCTTCCCCAAGGATGACCCCAAGAAGCCCGTCCACCTGACGGCCGCCATGGGCTACAAGGCCGGTATGACGACGATTGTCCGTGACATGGACCGCCCCGGCGCCAAGGCGAACAAGAAGGAGGTCGTCGAGGCCGTGACCATCGTCGACACCCCACCTGTACGAACAATGCAGCCCGCTTGGCTATGTGCCTATGGCTAACATCTTTTTTTTAGATGATCGTTGTTGGTCTTGTGGGCTACATCGAGACTCCCCGCGGTCTCCGCTCTCTCAGCACCGTCTGGGCCGAGCACCTGAGCGATGAGCTCAAGCGCCGCTTCTACAAGAACTGGTACAAGTCTAAGAAGAAGGCCTTCACCAAGTACGCCAAGAAGCACTCCGAGAGCAGCGGTGCCTCCGTCACCCGCGAGCTCGAGCGCATCCAGAAGTACTGCACCGTCGTCCGCGTCCTCGCCCACACCCAGATCCGCAAGACCCCCCTCAAGCAGAAGAAGGCCCACCTCATGGAGATCCAGATCAACGGTGGTTCTGTCGCCGACAAGGTCAACTTCGGCCGCGGGCTCTTTGAGAAGCCCGTCAGCATCGACTCCATCTTCGAGCAGGACGAGGTCATTGACGCCATCGCTGTTACCAAGGGCCACGGTTTCAACGGTGTCACCGCCCGTTGGGGTACCACCAAGCTGCCTCGCAAGACCCACAAGGGTCTCCGTAAGGTCGCTTGTATCGGTGCCTGGCACCCCTCCCACGTCCAGTGGACCGTTGCCCGTGCCGGTCAGCTGGGTTACCACCACCGTACCTCGGTCAACCACAAGATCTACCGCATCGGCAAGGGTGACGCCGACGACAACGCGTCGACTGATGTTGACATTACCAAGAAGACTATCACCCCGTACGTTTTCTCCTGCCTCGGCGTGGATCGAGAGCAGATTCCTATGCATATATGGAAGTGTTTGCTAACGCTCAAACAGTCTTGGTGGTTTTGTCCGCTACGGTGAGATCAACAACGACTTCGTCATGCTCAAGGGCTCCATCCCTGGTGTGAAGAAGCGCGTCATTACTCTCCGCAAGTCCATGTTCACCCACACCTCGCGCCGTGCCCTCGAAAAGATCAACCTCAAGTGGATCGACACCTCGTCTGAGTTCGGTCACGGTGCCTTCCAGACCCCTGCCGAGAAGAAGCAGTTCCAGGGTACCCTCAAGAAGGATCTGGCCTCCGCTTAGAGCGGTTGAAGCCATGTTTTCATTCTTGCTGTGTCTTTGTCAATTGCATTCAGGTGTCCAGAGGGTTATTTTTTAAAAACGAGATGACAAAAACCAGACCACAAATCAAAGGAGGTCCCGGCTTAGGAACTCCTTATAAATCTCAAAAAAGCAAAATTCCTCCCCCCCCCCCCAAACAAAAAATATTCTCCCTCTTCAGTGGGGGAGCACCCTCTGGACTTGGCATGTGGTGAACAACAGATGAGAAGATAACGAAGAACAAAAAAAAAGAAAAAGGAGTTAGATTTGTCTAATGTGATAAGAATTTCAAGGATATCCCAAACAGTGCCGGTCCGACTGCCTAGCAGTTAGTAGTTCTAGTTGTTCCGTATTTTGCATCACAAGCAGTCATGTAGATTTGACAAGCATGGGATTTTCTTTTTCTTCCTGTGTGGTGGAACAGTGAGAAGCAGGGGGAAAAACTTGGTAGCTTTTGACGTCACCCCCTCCTCATCGGATCCAAACCCACCCTGGACAGAACCCACCACAAGCAGAGCAGCTGCTATCATGACGCATAACACTGCCTTTTGCATACAAAAGTGCACTCGACTATATTTATCTAACAGCAAACGACCGTTGCAGACCTCTAGAATCACTCATCTGCCATCACTTACCCGACTTCCTCTTACGACGACGATCGTCACCCCCCTTCTCCCTAGCTGTCGCTGCCTCATTCACACCTCCCAGCCCGCCAAAATGGCATCAGACAAGGATTACATGGCCTTCCTAGACAAGGCGAACAATGACTCCATCCAGGCTCAGCCCAAGACTTCGTCATCCTCTAGGGGACAGTTCAAGACGGTTGACGCGGGAACTCAGGTCCCCGCCGAGATCCAAAGTGTATGCAGGGACACATTCTACGTGAGCGACGCGGACGAGCCCTTCGAGGGCGTTTCTCTGCGCTGGAAGGGTGACGACGGACTTCCCGATGAGGGTGAGTCTCCTGTTCTTTTACTCTTATATACACATTATCCAATTCTCTAGAACTCCCCCCCGCCATCTCCTCCGCGATTTCCCCCTCCGTTGCTAACACATGCTGTCAAAGTCGAATTTGCTGAACTCATCGGCCACGCGAAGCCTGACAGTGCCGACGTGACTATCCTGGACCCGTTGGACTGGGATTCCAAGGGCCAGTATATCAAGATCCTTGAGGCAGTGCGTCAGGCCAGCCAGGGGAACGATGTTAGGGTTTATCGTGTGGCCAAGGACGGGAGCAGGGTCGAGTACTGGCTCATTACGAGGGAAGAGGGCAGGATTGTTGGAGCCAAGGCTCTGAGTGTGGAGAGCTAGTATCGGGGAATTCAACAAGAAAAAAAAATCAGGGGGGGGGGATGATACTGTATCGCGATTGTACGATTTGCCACTATTACTGTTTCAACGCTCTTCTTGTCCCGCGGGGTTCTTCCTCATACGAGGAGGCTTCGTGAGAGTTTGGGGTTGTGATGCGGGGCAATATTACATCGCTACATGGCCGCCTTCTTTCTCACTTACTTGGCTGCCCTTCAACGAACAAAATATTCGATAGTGTTAGTGTTGAAGTCTGAAAATGGATGTAATAGTACAAGGAGCTTAGTTTGCAGAATTTGGAAGAGAAGAAATAAAGAAGAGAATTGGTAAATTGTCTTAGAGCCTGAAGCAGTCACGATAAGTCGTCCTCTATTTACCGATAAGTGCGTGTAGCCGATAGCGGCGGGGCAATTGACTCTGAACTTTGTACTTTTTTGCCATTTGTACCCCAAGAGTGGTTGGTTCGACTGTGTCACAACATCAACCGGGTCAGCTCCAGCTGCAGAACCCTCCATCTTTGTTGTTCGATAAGACCCTCCAGCTTCTTTCAATTTTCTTCTCTCTTTCCATATCCGTATTCTCTCCAGCCAAGCGATACCAACAGGGGGAAGAAAAGGAACAGAAAATATGACGTCGAGTGTAAGTCTTCTTGAGCTTCAACAAGGAGGGAAAAAAATTCTAAAAGATGCGGGGCATTTTTATTTCGGTGATCCCCCGCGAAAACTAACATCGAAAATATGTAACAGCCAGATGTGGTTCCGTCACTCGAGACGGTGAAGCAGGTGATCGAAAAGGCACGCAGCAGGAAAACTGGACCGCAGCCGACGCTGGTCCCCGTGTACCGGCAAGTGTCGTCAGACCTGATCACGCCGTCGGCGGCCTACCTCAAAGTGTCGAAGCGGGCGACGACGTCGGGCGAAGGCAAGAAGCAATACTCGTTCCTATTCGAGTCGGCGGCGACGGAGCAGCTGGGGCGGTACAGCTTCGTGGGGGCGGGGCCGCGCGATGTGCTGGTCACGGGGCCCGGGTACGGCGAGGAGACGGACCCGCTGGTCGGGCTGGAGAAGGAGCTGGGGAAGCAGGTGATTGCCGAGGTGCCCGGGCTGAAGCTGCCTCCCCTGACGGGTGGCGCCATCGGCTATGTCGGGTACGACTGCGTGCGGTACTTTGAGCCTAAGACGGCGCGCCCGCTCGAGGACAGGCTGCAGATCCCCGAGTCTCTCTTCATGATGTACGACACCATCGTGGCGTTCGACCGCTTCTACGGGCTCATCAAGGTCATCTCGTACGTCGAGGTGGGTGACGGCACGGACGCCAGCCTGGCCGGGGCTTACGCCAAGGCTGAGGCCACCATCGCCGACCTGGTCGAGCTCCTCGAGTCGCCCGAGGTGCCGCTGCCCGAGCAGGGGCCCATCGAGCTGGGCCGCGAGTACAGGTCCAACATCGGTCGCGAGGGATACGAGGCCCACGTCACCCGGCTCAAGGAGCACATCGTCAAGGGCGACATCATCCAGGCGGTCCCGTCGCAGCGCTTCGCCCGCCCCACCAGCCTCCACCCCTTCAACATCTACCGTCACCTGCGCACCGTCAACCCCTCCCCTTACCTCTTCTACGTCGACTGCAGCGACTTCCAGATCGTCGGCGCCTCGCCCGAGCTGCTCGTCAAGAGCGAGGAGGGCCGCATCATCACCCACCCTATCGCGGGCACCGTCCGCCGCGGAAAGGATGCCCAGGACGACGAGCGCCTCGCCTCGGAGCTGCGCAGCTCCCTCAAGGACCGCGCCGAGCACGTCATGCTCGTCGACCTCGCCCGCAACGACGTCAACCGCGTCGCCGACCCCCTGACCGTCCGTGTTGACCGCCTCATGGCCGTCGAGAAGTTTAGCCACGTCCAGCACCTCGTCTCCCAGGTCTCGGGCGTCCTGCGCCCCGACCAGTCCCGCTTCGACGCCTTCCGCTCCATCTTCCCGGCCGGTACCGTTTCCGGCGCTCCCAAGGTCAAGGCCATGGAGCTCATCGCCGAGCTCGAGGGCGAGCGTCGCGGCGTCTATGCCGGTGCCGTGGGCTACTTTGGCTACGGCGGCGTCGATGACCAGGGTGCCCGTGTCGAGGGTGCCATGGACCTCTGTATCGCTCTGCGCACCATGGTGGTCAAGGATGGCACTGCCTATCTTCAAGCTGGTGAGTTTCTCTTTTTCCTTTCTCCTTCTCTTCATTTTCCTCCCCCACCCCCCTCTTCCTGTACTGGCCTTCTTCGTCTATCCGATCTATTCTAACGCAGATATACCAGGTGGCGGCATCGTCTTCGACTCAGACGAGTACGACGAGTGGATGGAGACCATCAACAAGCTCGGCGCAAACATGCAGTGCATCACGTCTGCCGAGGAGCTATATCACCAGCAACAGCAGAGGGCGTCCAAGAAGCCGTAATGTCCGCCTTTTCGCTTTCTGTTTTCTTGGACATTATGTTTTTTTCTTGGACACGGTATGCCAGGTGGCAACGAAGGACACTTTTGTTTTACGAGCCTACGATTCGATATGATGGCGAAGGCTTTATTTTTTATAATCAATGGCGTTGTTACCGGGATTAAAATTCCATCAATGGGAAATATAAGAGGGGGAAAAGTAGAAGAAATGAATTATATAGATGAGAGGAATGCGTCTGGCATGTGCGCTGAATTGCTCAATGCCTAGTCCCCTCCCCTTTCTCCTTTTGCTTCTCATTCTCCTAACTAAAGGTAATGAATAAAGAAACTTGAAGAAATCAAAAAGCCAGATAGAATGAAAAGAAAAAAAGAAAAAAAAAAACTGCGAAGGCATGATTCGTGATTTCGTCATCAGTAATACCAAGTGACTGGCAGCTTTCGAGGGATAGGGTCCCTCGCGTGTATGTATACTATATAATGCCCATAACCCCCACATTCTGACACATATCTCTTCTCTCTCCTTACTGGGTTAGAAGCGGCGGTACCGGCGTAGCCCTCTGACTATCAGTGGCCAGCTCGGGGATAGGCGTGTCCCTCTTTTTCGGGACAGACGGCACAGTCGGTGTCTTGACATCTGATTCGACGACGGCGGGTTCCTCGACAACGACCTCGGACGCGATGCTGCTGGCGTCCGTCATGTCGACATCCTTGTCCTCGCTCCACGAGCAACAGCTCTCTGCGCTGGGTGTGGGTGTAGCCTCGACGTCTATATCCACGACTTCGGGTGTCACCGTCGCCGTCGCTGCTGCCGCTACTTCCTCTGCGACCTTGGAAGAAGCTTCGGCCTCGGCTTTTTCGGCAGCAGCCTTGGCAGCCTCCTCCCTAGCCCTGGCGGCACGCAGTGCGGCGACAGCTCCGCCAACCTCGTCGTCGTCTTCCTCCTCGTCCTCTTCGATGTGTGTAGTCCACACCCAACGACGATCCTTCCTCCCCGTGCTACGTCTCTTTCTCACGCCAGAAGGGGACGACGACGGCGGCGGCGACGACGATGTCGTGGTAGCCGACCTGGTCATGCGGCGTCTCGTCTCCTCAAAGGGACCGGGGGTCTGACCACCGTCACGCGTCGTCGGGGCGAGGACATGGTCGAGAACCTGGTCCGCTGTTGCCGAGACGGCAGTGCCGTTATTGTTGCCGAAGGGCGAGGGCGACGATGCAGAGCCGCTGGAGGAAGACGGTGGTGTCCCGGGGGAGTACATCAGGTCTATACATGGCTCTGTGTAGATGCTCGTGACAATTTCCTGCTCCAGCGGGCTGTTGTAGGCCACGCGCCGTGCGGCCCTCTCGCGGAGACGCAGGGACTGTCGCCGCGGGGAGGGAGGGAGAATGGCCGTGCGCGGTGGGAGGGGTGAGTTGCGGAGGATGCTCCGGAGCACACGGGGTTGTGTATATGGTGGTGGCGGGGCAGCAAAAGGTACGGTAGAGTCTGCAGCCGACGCTGCTGCATCCTGGCAGTGCAGAAGAGATGATGAAGGGTAGTTGAAGGCCCTGGTGCGGTTGTCTTCCAGGGTCCCAGACAGTGGCGGCGGTGTCGTCGTCGTCGTCGTCGTCGTCGTCGCCGCAGTGGTCATGATGCTGGGCAAGGTGAGAGCAGGCTGCCGCCGCCGCCGCGATGAGGGGGGCGATGACGATGATGAGGTAGCATTGCCGCTCCCGTGGTCGGCGGATAGAGGTGTCTCCGGGTAACTGGTGGTCAGGTAGGGCGTCATGATCCTGTCCCTGGGGTCGCGGTATGAGGAGGGAGTGGCCAGGTTGAGACGTTCCAGGGTGTTGATGGCCGTGAGAGGAGTTGATCTCTGTATGGCCGTTGCGTAGGCGTTGGAAAGGGTGTTGAAGGTGGTGATGTCCCCCGGGTCGACGTTGTGAGTAGCCCGCTGCTGACCTGATACTGTTGCTGCCGGTGCTGCTGTTTCCGGACCAGATGAGGCTGATGTCGTCTGGATCTTGAGGGAAAGACGAGGCTTGCTGGGCCTCTTGGGCTGATGAGTTGCCATGATGGCTTCCCAACCTCTTCCCTTCTCGTGATGTCTTACAAAATGACGGTTGGACTAATGGGCGTGGGAACAAGACGATGTAACATCTCACTAGGAACGAGAGGGAAAGAGAGAGGGGAAGAACGGGAACGATCCAGCCAAGGCATGTTGCATACATAGGTATTCCTGACCCAAGCATCACCCCCTCCTCATCTCTCATCCGTCGGCGGCTATGTGACGCCCCCTCCATCACGATAAGCGCCATCAGGGATTGGTGGCATGCACGACTCATCACACACACACTATTACCGAGTATTACTCGCAGCAGTGCTCCGTAACTGCTACGGAGTAGAAACCAAACTATTTCCCGTTTCCTGTTTATTTGACGCGGAATCGCAGGGATCATTTAGCACCATTTGACCAACAAAGATAAACACGTCCGATGTTTCCCGCAGCGTGGTTGGCCTGTGTAGGCGCCGACCCTGGCCATGGCTGCCAATGAGGATGGTCTCCCCCCTCCCCCCCCGGTCCCATGCAGCTGGTGTGTCTCTGAATATCGGCAGCCCGGCAACTTCTGTTCTTCATCTCTTGGCGTCATGGTAAGTGTATGTCGTAGACTCGTAGTACGCACGCAGTCTATAGATGCTTCCAGACTCCAAGCCAGGAGGGGGGGGTTTCGACTTTCCCAAGTGTGTTATTCTTCGTTTTTGTGAGTTGGCGGGAAGTCCCGTCGAGAGACGATGAGAGAAACTCTCCGACAAAAGAAGTAGTAAGAATAACGGATGTGTATTATACTTGTCGATTAATCATTAATATATGAAGCGCACTCACTATTTTTAGTAATAGTCTTGGTCCACCCAGTGTACATGCCGCCGTGCAACAGTAAAAAGCTGTCTTTGAGATGTATACACACCGCCTGTGCACCCAGAAAGGACGCCGAGACCTTCCATACTGTGAAAGAGAGACCGGGATAGAATGGGGGGAGCACTGCTACTGTATTGATATCCGTACTAGAGTATTTCACACACATATAATGGCGGTGCGCTCCATTGCGTGATTCTAACTGGCGTATTGTCGAGGGGAAGAAAGGAGGAAAAAACTCCTCTGTGAAGAGAGGAAATTGTTTGTCATGTCTGGTCTGAGCGTAGGCTACCCCCTGACGATAATATATAATTAGTTTGGTGCCATTTTGCGTCAAGCCCCGCGTGGCGCAATTGGCAGCGCGTAAGCCTTCTATTTGATAGCTTAAGGTTCGGGGTTCGACCCCCCGCGTGGGGTATTTCTGCCAATTTTTTCATCTTTTTGCTTCTATTTTCTCCTTTCTCATCACCAATCTGATATCTCTTTCCTTCACCCATCTTGCTGTTTCTAAACATTTCCTTTTTCTCCCTTTCGTTACCTTTTGGTGTAGACAAGTGGCTTAGCAAGTTCTGTTCCGATTTCCTCTTCATGCCCTTGTACAATAAAAGAACACTGTGGAGCGCGGGCTCCCCTTCCTCTTTCTTCTTTTTTTATAAAAAAAAAAACGCTTGCATGGTCCGTCATCACTTCAACAAAGGGTCAACGGCAAACAATGAATAATTGTCACCGTCACCAACAATGTCTTCGGATTTACCATGGAGGAAACCACCCAAACGCATCGGCGATGAAAGGGTAATTCTACAATTTGTATGACCCGACTCCACTCACAATACTGTTACAGTATGTGACGTGCTGACAGATACATTTCATAGGACTACGACTGCTTCTACGCCCAGGTAGTCGAGAATAAGGACCCGTCGCTCAAGTCCAGACCCGTCGGCGTGAAACAAAAGAGCATCCTGGCCACGTGCAACTACAATGCGCGCTCCCGCGGCGTGCGCAAGCTCATGCTTGTCAGCGAGGCGAAGAAGGCGTGTCCCGACCTCGTGCTCGTCGACGGGGAGGATCTCACTCCCTTTCGTGACGTGAGTAAGCGGCTCTTTGAATACTTGAAGAAGTACTCTTGGAGTGGCAAGATGGAGAGGCTGGGGCTTGATGAGATTTTCATGGGTAATATCCCTCTTTCCGTCCATCCCTTTCCTCCCTGTCATCACTGTTCTTCTTCCCGAGCGGCGTGAGATGGAGAGAACGGGTGGAACAGAACACTGATCAAGCACATGGCCAGACGTCACTGATATTGTCGAGTACAACATGACATGCATGGATCGTCCCCCAACTCCCAACTCCTTCTTCTACTTGTCCAAGACGGACCCTGAAAAGGGCTTCATCTGTGACATGACCACCATAGCTGGATGTGCCATCGGAGCGCGTGTCAGGCCCACAGACTGGAGTGATCCTTACTATATGCGTCTCATTCTTGGATCCCGCCTGGCCCTGCATCTCCGGACAAAGCTCGAGGACGACTTTGGGTACACGTCTACCTGCGGCATCTCGACAAACAAACTTCTCAGTAAACTGTGCGGCGGCAAGAACAAACCCCGCAATCAGACGACCCTGGTGGCCCCCGACGAAGCCCATACCCTGGATTTCATGGATGGTAACAGGTTAAGGGGTGTCCCGGGAATCGGCTTCAAGATGGCCTCGAGCATAGAAGAGCTCATGACGGGAAAGAAGAAAACCACAGAAGACTCCAATTCTTCTGGGTCGACAGTGACTGTTGGTGATGCGCGAGCATCGCCAGAAGTTTTCCCCGCGTCTATAGAAAGGGTTCTCGATGGTACGGGGGCTGAGAAGGGCGTGGGATCTCGGGTATGGGCTCTTCTTCATGGGGTTGACCCCACCGAAGTAAAGAAGACCAGCGACTTCCCTTCCCAGATTGGTATCGAGGACACGTACCCTCGCCTCAGTCTCAGCACCATGCCACAGATAACTGAGGAGCTCCTCAAGCTCACGTGCTCTCTTATTCGCAGGATGAGGACCGACCTCCTGGAACATAGCGATATCGAACCGACCTCGAATGGTGGAAAATGGCTCGCGCGGCCTAGGACACTACGCTTATCTATCCGATCCTGGCACCAGATGCAGAACCAGTCGTTCGGCCGCTCTTCAAGGTCTTCGCCGCTCCCAGGATTCGTCTTTGATACGAAGGAGGCCATTGAAGAAATTGCAGAGAATCTAGTCTCTCAGTACTTGGTACCCCTTTTGCGTCGTTTGAACAGCGAGAGGGGATCCAAGTGGAATCTGCAGCTCATCAACATTTGTGTCGCCAATATGGATCCGGGGGTGGGCAGTGACAAATCTCGCGTTGGTAGAGACATCGGGAGCATGTTTAAGAACCAAGAGGAGACCTTGAAGCCATGGAAGATCGTCGAGAGCGATGTCCCTCCACGCGAGACAGAAACTGAGCCAGACGCCGAATCGGAGACTGCTACTGCTGAGGTTGGCCGAGGATGGGAAACAGCAGGGCACGCTTCATGCCCGCGCTGTGGCTGTTTGCTCCCGACATTTGCCCTGCCAGCACACCTGCGATTTCACGATATGGGTGCGTAAGACTTGTTTGTCCAACAAGATAATGAATGGCCAGACTGTGCTGTTATCATGCCTTGGCAATCTCTGCTACCTAACGAAGAATGGTTTTCGGTGGTTGATACCCAGGGCATATGCGCTTTGGGAGCAACACCTCCCCGGCATCCCCCCCCCGTCCCCTTGCATCGGCAATGGTTGTCGTCATCTTTATTCTCAGTAGTTCAGGGTGGTGGGTTGCTTCTAGAGTAGATTCCAAAATGACACCGGTGAGAATGCTGGCGAATCTGTAGCTGGCCCATTGTCGCACAAGGCGGCGCAGACGCAACACCGAGGCGTAGAAATCTCTACGAGGTCCTGTCCCCTCGGGATAATGAAATATGGAGGTCTTGTTTGATGGTATTTCAAGCACCAGTCGTGTGCACCTGAGGGCCTTTGACTTCAAGTAAAGCAGCTGGAAGCAAAGCTATATGTCTCTGGATTACGCCCATGCCTTCCCGCCCTGGCCTTACCTCCTCCCAGTCGGCGGGCAGATGCGGCCCAGCAATCCTGCAATATACCATGAATCATCGCCTGGGGCTTGTCTGGAACAGCATGTTGTGCAACATGAACTCTGTGCTAGTGTGGCCGAATTCTACAGACAAGTCAGCGGGCATCCGTGTATCAGGCGCAGAGGGGAGGAAACACGACACGTACCGCCCATGGCTTTGCGGTAGTAGTAAGAGGAGATTCACTAATGCTTCACGTCGGGTAGTTTGCTTAGATAGTGAATCGATGCCAAATCCTTGCTTCCTGCGATGACTGCTTCTTAGCTGACACAGATCCATCCCAGTACCCTCAAGTTGCCGCATATCTTGATATGAGCTGTCGGTTAGTTTCCGTCATCTCTTTGGCTTGGAGTGCAGCCTTCTCCTGAACGGGTTTCTAATGAAGGTACAATAGAAGATGAAATGGTGTGATAGAGTATCAAAACCCACAAGGCCACGATGGACAGCTGCTAGCTGGCGGTCGCCAGGTGCCCGCAGCCGCCAGAACCTGAGCACTATTTGACGACTGCCTGTTGGCCTTCCTTATGAAGTGCGCCTTCCTTGTGTTACGCAGAAGGAACGGGAATGCTCTTTCCTCTTAAAGTCACTGCTTCCTCTTATTCTGCCCCTTTTACCTGAGCCATGAGTCCCTTCGCCTCCTCGTTTGCCTCACTCTCTACGCTACCACTTTCACCAAGCGTTTGTCTCCCCTTCTTCAGCCGTCATCCAGACGCCACGACACTCTGCGCAATAACCGTCGAGAATGAAGCATTCCGGATTGTCCGTGGTCACAAACCCCGATTCCCTTCTCTAATACGGCATGCTTGTCCTTCAGCATATGGGAGATAAGACCTTCCTCTCGTCTGCTCAGTGAGATACTTCGCATAAATCAAGAGCCTTCATCCACTCGACTTGATACATCACCAGCCGATAGATGTCCTCCTGACATAAATATACCATCAACCACAAGCACCTTTGTCGTCTTGGAGTCCTTATAGGGAGAGGAACCCTTTCTGAGTCTATAAACTACTTCCTTGAACTTCCCGTGTGGTATACTAGACACCTCCTTAGCCGCCGATATCATCCACCGACACCAACACTTCTTTGATAGAAGCGAAGTGCCACTAATAGCTTCGGTCTTTCTGCCAGGCCTTCCCCTATATACCGTTACTTCGGTCTCTGCTGAGTGTCATCAGTAGCCAACCAACACCATGGCGAGAGGAAGTCGGGGCGCTGCCTCGGAACAGATTCGTCGACCAATCGACCTTTCAGGGCATATATCTGCGAATGAGAGGAACAGTCTCACAGTACTCGTTACTGCTATTACCGACAGGATGGATCAGCAAATCAGTGACATCTTCGACTCCCCTCCTGTGGCACCAGATCTGAGGGGTGAGGCATACAACTGGTTGCTGTTCTCGCTGACGGAACATAGGCCCCTTCCTCGAAACTCCAAAGACACGGAAAAGCAGTACTCCAACGCACTCAAGAACAAGAAGGCCCATGAGAAGTGTCCCGTGGTGGAAGAGAGGTCCAAGGGCCCCCAACTGCAAGAGCTCAAGAAAGAGGCCCTTGCCTCCTTTTTGAAGTGGCAGGGGAACTTATTGCAGAGAATCTGGGATATTGATGTAAGAGAGCTTCCGAGCTCTTTCCAAGGACCGTCTGGGAAACCCAGAGGCCGTGGTCGTGGTGCTACCCGAGGGAATGGGAGCTCTCGAGGAAGCGACATCCGTGGCAGTGGAGCTGGTCGTGGTGGTTTACCTATTCCAACAGGTCCGGTAACTTGTTCCTTTCTCACGATGAACCTCATTTATACTTGCTAACTGACGCTGGGAAAATAGGTCCGCCACGGCTTCCGTCGAGGCACACGGATCTGGCCCTGTCGACAAAGTATCCGCCGACTCCGAATGCTCTATGGACTCTGCCGCAGGAAAGGAGGAAGCTGTTTTTGCATATCGTGCTGCTGGCTGCCCTGTCCTTGTCCGAATATAGCGCCCACACGCATCTTCTCCTTGTCTACCTAACATCCTCTCTGAACATGCCTCTGAGCTTCCTCTACGCTGAGGAAGGGAGGCTGGCCGAGGCCATGGCTCAGGTCGCATTGGACATGTCCCCGGAGGAGCTGCTGCGGAAAGCCGAAGAGGCTAAGAGTTCAAGGAGGGGGAGAGGCAACAATAGCCCGGCTCCTACTTCTCTGTCTCCAACTTTGACAGCTGCAGGAATTGGGACTCCTGACGGGAGCTTTGGTCTGACAAAATTTGTGGCTGCAAACCTCTTGGGGCCCCTAGCCGGCGGGGGGAAAGCAATGTGCAACTTGTTTGGTATGAACCCGGCCAAGCCAACCAGCAAGATGATGGAAGTCTTCAGCCGAGAGATTCAGGAGTTTGCCTTTGTTTCTGTGCACAGCGAGGCAGTCACCGAATACAATGATGCCCGTCAGTTTGGTGCGGGGGAGCGCAGATTCCGCTTGGTCCTTGCCATGAGCGGCTGGGCCTCTGAAGACAAGGACATGAGAAAACCTTGGTTGTGTCTGGGTCGTCAGACTGAGAACTATGTCGTCCGTTGGGATCCTATCACGCTGCTGAGTCTGGGGAGCTCTCTCGAAACAGTCATCAAGAGTACCGCTTGGAAAGGTTCCCAGAGGGAAATCAGCAAGAAGTCAAGTAGGCTCGCCTTTCTCTAATGACATATCCCTGCCCTGGCCCCGCTAACCATTAATCAGTCTTCGCTTGCCTCATCAAGTCCGAATGGCCAGAGTCGCTCCTGAAGATCAGCAAACTTGTCGACAACCCGTGGAGTGTGGGCACAGTGCGGTCCGAAAAGGCTGGATTAGTCCTAGCCGATGCCATCATGCGACATAAATTTCAAGGCGACCGATCGGTTTCTCTAGTAGGGTACGGACTCGCAGGGCGAGCAATCTACATGTGCCTCATGACTCTCGCAGAGAGGCGATGCTTTGGTCTGGTTGAGTCCGTTGTCTTGATGGGCGCCCCTATACCATCAGAGTCTCGTGTGTGGCTCACACTCAAGAGCGTCGTCCCTGGTCGTCTTGTCAATGTATACTCTGAGCACGACTACCTGCTCGGCTTCCTGTGCCGCTCCTCCAACACTCAGTTTGGCATCGCCGGTCTCCAGGAGATTCGTGGTGCTCGAGGTGTCGAGAATTACCACGTTGGTCGTATGCCCGAGGGCCACATGGGATACGAGACGATGGCGGGCAAGATCCTCAAGGATATCGGATGGGAGTGTCTTGATCGAGAGAGTGTGACGGGGCGAGGAAAGCAGGGCAAGGTGTCTGGTCCGAGGTGGTGATGTCTAGATGGTAGCGTATACTTCTTTGCTTGTACCCTTGGGGTTTCTTCCCTGTCTTGCTCTGATGAGATTATCGCTTTTTCTCTTCACTCTGCTTCGTTGGGTCTTTTATTAAAGAGCTGGGGCTTGAGATTGGCTTTATGAGTTAGACATTGTTAATGGCCTTAGGCCGCTGTCGGATCAAACAGCTGAAAAAGTCACCGGAAGATGTTATTCTGTTCCGATCAGACATTTATTTGCCTGGTAAAACGGAACACTTGTACAGTCATGATTTCCCTAATTATAACAACAGCAACAATACACACATCAATGTCACGAAAAGGCCTGTTTTCGAGCCCTTGTTTTCATCCAAGATCAGTGATCGTATCCGGGTTTATCTCCTTCCGATCCGGAACCTCAGTATATAGCTGCGTCTTCTCGAGACATGAGGGTAGCCAGTGTGATTGCATGTAACCTACGAAGAGTTGACAGAAATCAGAGCACTAGACAGGTCGCAATAAAGGCCAAATGGAACAGTAAAACACGATGATTCGTAGCAGGAAATGGACAGTCGGTGTACGCACGACGCGATCAGGCTATGACAGGACCAGCTTTCCGGCGACTTCATCCGTAGTGTAATCCGATAAGGTTGTCGACCTTGCCTTTAATGTTTTGTCCCCTTCCCAAGTCGCGTGCCCCGGCCCACCATCTGCGTGCTCCACGTCACATAGCAGGAAGGGAGGCTGCGCTAGGATCTGCGATCGCCCGTGGGTACGCTACCGTGGTGTTCCTGATTTATAGACGAGGGCCTGCGACGTGACGGTGTATGGCAGGTGCGTACCGTATGACAGCGGCTCGCCGAAGCCGGTTTGGTGACGACCTGGTGGCATCGCCGCGATGTTCCCGTCTCTTTGTCGAAGAACGGGGTTCTCGATGATATATATAGTGGCAAGAGTGGGCTGCTCGCAAGCCAGGTAGTCACCTCGGAACGGGGTAACATGGGACAGCCCATAATGGCTGCCGGTGCATCCAAAAGTGGCCAGCGTTGATAGCCTAAATACCCTCCTCGCTGACTATGCCATATCGGAACGGCAGCGCCTACCACATCTCGGGGGCGAGCCATCTCCGAGAGTGCCAGCTTCGGCCCGTGAAACGGTCAAGTGCTGACAGAGGACGAAGGACAGTCAAGCCACATCAAGCCACATCCAAGAATGACATCAGGAGGTCATCAAGAGAGATTCAGTCAAGGTCCAAGGAAGTATATAGAGTTATCACGAGCAAAGACAAGGACGTCGGAGACAAGAAGCGAGAACAAGTATGAAGAGGTAGCCGAGAAGCTACTGGAAAGAAAGAAGACAGAGATGAACGAAGATGAATTTTGACCCCAAAGTTGACCTTGAATCTCTTTTCTGTCTCTTCTGTCTCTTGCCTGCAAGACTTCATCACTTTCTCTATTACTTCTCTCACGTCCTTGACAGATAGTAACTATATAGGTGTTCCGTCTTACTAGGCAAGTGTCTAATCGGAACGGAATGACATCTTCCGGTAGCTTATTCAGCTGTTTGATCCGACAAATCGGTGCAATGGAAACCAGAGATCCCCGACTGCGACGCACGAAATACAAGAAAAACCCAACCGACTTTTTTATAATAAGATATGCCAAGAAGAGATTAAGATAACCTGCTTGTAGACAACAATACACGACGCTTAAACGTCTTTTTCTTTTCTTCTTCTTCCTCTTCTACTTCCTTCCTTCCCAATGGTTGGTTCCTTTTTTTTTTGTTCTTTTTTTTTTCGTTTTAGAACCCAAGATGACTCAAGTACTACTTGCTAGTAGTTGATATGGGGTGAAAAAAAGGGTGGGGTTGAGGGGAGGAAAATAAGCAAGTAGAGTATAGAAGAAAAAAAAAAGAAAGGGAAAAATTGTTTAGAGAGGTGAGAAGAATTATTAGGGGAGAAGAACGATATAAAAGAATCAATCAATTGTTTGTTTTTGACTTTTGATTTTTTTGATTTTTTTTTTTATGTAGAAGGTCCAATCATGCTGGGGACTTTTTTCCTCGGCAGGCGGGGGCCACGGGGCTCTACGCGAGGGGCACCTTGTATGGCTCTCGGCTCGCGCATGAGGGACTTGTCCAGGCGGGCGGGAACGCGGGTGACGATTGTGCGGTAGTTGTCTGGTAACTGTCCGCCCTTGGGGAGGGGGACGGATGCCGTGCGCCAGATGTGGTCGGACGTGTCGGATAGGTAGGTGGATGGCTTTCCGCCGCCGCCGCCGCCGGAGGAGGAGGACGAGGTCGGGAGGGTCAGGGAGTTGCCGCTGACGCTGTATGATGATCGGAGGGAGGCTAGACGGGATAGGCTGGATGATAGGCCAGGGCGGCCGCGGGCTTTCTTGGCCATGATGATTTCGTCGAAAAGGCGGATGACGGGGTCTGATTGGGGTTTCATTTCTCGGTCGTGGATGAATTCGTTGAAACCTGGGGGACATGTCAGTTTGAGACGGAAGACGGGGGACGTAGGGACTAGGGGAAAGGCTTATGAATGAAGATGAAAAAATAAAAATAAGAACAAAAAAAGTAAAAGAAGAGAGAATGGAGAAAAAGGATAGAAGAGAGAAAGATGGGGCGGAAAAAAGAGAAGAACCCATACCCTGAGTCTCACGCAACATGGTGGCATATTCTTGCTGATCGTGAGGAAGACCCTTGATGAAACCGCTCATGTCAAAGGCAAACAGCTGCCCGTTCCCCTTCTGCTGCTTCGACGGCCTGCCGAGGTACTTGCGGTACGTGTATAGCAGACTGGCGAGGCACCTGGCAAAGGCGGCGCGGACGCGGTCGGCGTGGAAGGCCTCGGGGCACACGACCGACACGAAGCCCAGGCAGCGGCCGTGCGAGGCCATGCCGCAGCCGGAGCAGATGAAGATGCCGTCGTCCTCGGCCTTCTCGAGGCATATACTGCAGTTAGACTCGTCCTTGGGGCTCCACACCTGGCAGTGACCCTCAACCCAGACCGTCGTGTCCGTGTCGTGCACCGGGTGCACCTGCATGCTCGGCATGATGGTCGAAGCCGCCATGGTCGACGGCGCGTAGGCGGACGGCGCGTAGCCTGCCCCTCCTCCGCCGCCGCCACCGCTGCCGCTGCCGCTGCCGCTGCCGCTGCCGCCCAGGGACGAGAGGGAGTCGGCCGAGATGGAGGTGATGGACATGTTGGGCTGGTGGCCGTTGAGGAACTGGAGGCTGGGCTTGTGCGTGGGACCGCCGGCGGCGCCGGGGGGCACCACGCGCGGCGGGCGGGTCTCGACGCCGAAGGATGAGCTGCGCCGCCCGCTGTCGTCGCGGAAGTGTCCCGACCGCTTCTCGCGGAGCGTGGCGGCCAGGCCGAGTCCCGAGTCGCTGCGCGAGATCGGCGTCGTCGGCATCGGGGGGAAGTGGGTCGACACGGGCGACAGGGAGGACTTCGGGCTCGTCTTGTTGCTCGACCTGCTCGTGCCCGGACGGTCCGACTTCCCGTTGTCGGTGGGGGCCGTGGCGAAGGCGTTGAAGACGGGCTGCTGGATGTCCTGCCGAGGGTCGGGCGCGCCAAACGTCGACGAGCTCTGCGACGCCCACTTGCCCAGCGTGCAGGGCTGGGCTCGCGGGTTGAACAGGCTGGCGTTCTCGGACGAGAATGAGTCGTAGGGGAAGCTCTCCATGGCGTAGGGTGGCGGCCCCGACGCGACGCCGTACCGGAGCCGGTGGGGCGCGGCCATCTGCAGGAGGGACTGGAGCTTGCGGCGGATCTGGCGGGGCAGGCGCACGGGCTGCGAGGTCGCGTCGATGGTGTCCTGGTCCAGGTCGACGAGCACGTAGTCGTCTTCCGGGAGCGTGATGTTGTCGTAGCGACGCTCGATGCCGACGATGTAGGGGCAGGGGGCCTCTAGGGCCGAGATGAGGCGCGCGGGGAGGATGGGAATGAAGATGCTGGCCCACTTGAAGGGGTACAGCAGGCTGGCGAGGGCGTGGCAGGCCAGGTGCAGCATGCTGGCGTGCGACGAGAGGAAGATGATGCGCGACTCCGACATGGCGAACTCGAACAGGGCGAGCACGTTCTCGAGCGACAGGCAGCGGAACAGGGCGTAGAGGTCGATGGTGCGCGTGCCGGGTATCTCGTTGTGCGCCTCCTTGCGCGCGTACAGCCGCAGCTCGCGCACGCTCAGCTCCACCTGCGTCTTGGAGCCGAGCGGGCTGAGGGCCTCGGTGCAGAGGTTGACGACGTAGCGCTCCAGCGGCTGCCACCGGCCGACCTTGGGCGACGTCGGGGGGATGCGGAGCACGCCGCCGTCCGTCATGGGCACGATGACGGCCTTGAGCCACTCCTTCCAGAAGCCCATGGCGGAGGCGTCGCGGCCGAGCACGCCGTACGCCCGCGGGGTCCACAGCCCGCTCTCGCCGGCGGTGAGCCCCTCAATCTTGGAGGCGGCGCCGTGCCGCAGCGGGCGCAGCATGTCGGTCATGAGCGTGATCTTCTCCTCCACCGTGCTGATCTCTTCCTCGAGGCGGTCGCGGGCCGCGGTGCCCGAGGGAATGGTGGGCAGCTTGGCCAGAAGCTGCGACAGGTGGGAGCGCTCGTTGGCCAGCCTGACGCCCAGGCTGGCGGCCAGCTCGCGCTCCTCGTTGGACATGTGGCCCTGGCGCCACCGCTCGCACCGCAGCTCAATCTCCTCGGCGACGTGGGCGTTGACGGCCGTCCAGACGATGATGGTGATGCCGTACAGCTTCGAGTTATCGTCCGACGTCATGGTGAAGCCGTGCCAGGTCGACCGCGGCCGCTCGTCCGACGACACCACCTGGATGTCGTTGGGGAAGGCGAACATGGGCACGTAGTCGGGGAACCTGCCGCGGCGGGCCAGGTCCTCGGTCGCATCTTTCGGGGGGTATCGGTCGAGGAGGACGGGCTCGAAGCGCCGCCTGAGCGGGTGCATGTCGGGGTCGGTGTTGAGGGGCTCGGGTGGGGGGATGACGGAGTTGTAGTTGCTCAGGCGTCTCGAGGTTCGGATGGAGGCTGCGGGAGCGGGGGGAGATTGAGGTTTGTCAGTGAGCCATGAATTCCTCCTCGTTCCCCGTGGTAGGTGGCTGGACTGCGTCGACTCACAAGCTCTTTGAGGGTTGTTGGCCCTGGGAGGGGCCCTGAGGCTGGGCTGCTTCCGCACGCTGTTCATGTCGCGGAAGCTGATTCTCCTCCTGATGCTCCCGCCGATACTCTTAAGCGGGCTCATCCGGCCGTCTCCGTCGTCGGCCTTGATGCGCTCGGCGCGGGGGTTGATCATGGGAGGTCTGGATTGGATCTTGGCGCCAGCAGAGAAGGTCAAGTCCTCAAGAAAGTCCTCCCTCTCGGCGGCGAACTTGACGAGAGCCTTGTCAAAGTCGAAACCCTCGAGGAAGAAGATGCCGCTGTTCTGGTTGCTGCTGCTGCTGCTGCTGCCGTTGATGTTGTTGTTGTTGTTGCTGTTGTTGTTGTTGTCGTCGCCGCTGGCGGTGACGGTCAGCTCAGGCACGGTGAGGCCGCCGGAGGGAGCAGCTGGAGTCGGGCCGGGGTTGTTGGCTCGGATGGTGGCGCTGCTCCTGTTGCTGGTGGTGTTCCCCGAGTCGAGCTCATCGATACTAGCGATAGAGAAGCGGTTGCTGCTGCTGTTGCTGTTGCCGTTGCTGTTGCCGTTGCTGTTGCCGTTGCCGTTGCCGTTGCCGTTGCCGTTGCCGCTGCCGCTGCCGCTGCCGCTGCCGCTGCCGACGCCATTGTTATCGGAGAGAGACATGCGCGAGAAACGGTTTACCGCGGAGCTCAGCTGAGAAAAGCGACTGGACGACCTGGCTGCGGCAGGGGTAGAGGAAGCAGAGGGAGAAGGAGAGAATACGCCGGCGTCGTCGGCCGGCTCACCGTCCTCGACAATGGTGGACTCTACCTGGGGCTCTTTGACGACACCACCGGCGCCGACCACGTTGGAAGAAGGCTGGAGGCCATCGTCGTAAACGATGGACTCTATGCCGGCAATCCAGAAGTAGTCGGCCAGAGGGATCGACGTGCCGTCCATGACATGTCAATTGGGGGGGCGGAGGGGAGGGGGAAGCAGGCGACCAGAAGGAAGCTCTTCTCCAAAGGGGAAGCGGGGGGGGGGGGGGGGGGGGGGGGGGGGAAGGTATCCGTACGAGTCTCGTATGATGGGCTGACGGTCTCGCAAGCTGTTGCGTGTATCTCGTATGGGAAATGCTGAAAAATGCCAAGAGATAGCTCTGCAGCAATTCTCTCTGGCTGGAATGGAGTTTTTTTTTTTCTCTTCCTCTTTCTCTCTTGTTATTTCGTGGTAGAGGCCGTCGTCGTTAATCGTCGTCGATTTACTCCGTTCTGGTAACACTCTTTCCCTCTCAGAGGAGAATGAGGGGCGAGCAGAAGGAGGGGGGATGTTTCTGGTCGGAGTGGGTTGGCACTTGACCAAGTTGAGAGTGAGAGTGAGAGTGGGAGAGGGAGGGAGGGAGAGAGAGAGAGAGAAGAGAGAGAGAGAGACAGACAGAGGAGCAAGAGGTAAGAGACAGGGGTCTAGGGGGATCAGCAGTCTCGGTCAGGACTCAGTCACAACCATTTACCATTTACGCAGTATAATAATAAGTAATATGTAGATTGTAGAAATAAATACAAAAAAAATTAAAAATTAAAAATTAAAAAAAAAAACTATACTCCTCCGTACTCGTAGCAATACTCCCGTAGTGAAACAGTTCACAGGTACGTACTGCTACTACAGATTACTGTACTCCGTATCACAGCTACCAAGTACAGATTACAGATTACGGATATACGAGTAGCTAAAGCTGCAAGCTGCAAGCTGCAAGCTGCAATGATATACTCATATAATGCTTGACTCCCTGCTCCCCTCTCAAGATGCCGTGGACTGATGGAGTTGCACTTGGGGGCTTCCCCTATCTGCAGCGAGAGAAGAGCTGCCACTCCATCCGTTCATCATGGTTGGTCGGCAATGTCCCCCCCTCTCCCCCTCCTCCTCCTCCTCCTCCTCCTCCTCCTCC